AACAATGTCAGGTGTGTCTGGGTGTTGTACAATCAGATATATACATACATGATCAAGTAAACAATGTCAGGTGATCTGGGTGTTGTACAATCAAGATATATACATACATGATCAAGTAAACAATGTCAGGTGATCTGGGTGTTGTACAATCAGATATATACATACATGATCAAGTAAACAATGTCAGGTGATCTGGGTGTTGTACAATCAGATATATACATACATGATCAAGTAAACAATGTCAGGTGATCTGGGTGTTGTACAATCAGATATATACATACATGATCAAGTAAACAATGTCAGGTGATCTGGGTGTTGTACAATCAGATATATACATACATGATCAAGTAAACAATGTAAAAGTGTTCTGGGTGTTGTACAATCAGATATATACATACATGATCAAGTAAACAATGTCAGGTGATCTGGGTGTTGTACAATCAGATATATACATACATGATCAAGTAAACAATGTAAAAGTGTTCTGGGTGTTGTACAATCAGATATATACATACATGAGCAGGTAAACAATGTCAGGTGATCTGGGTGTTGTACAATCTGTTGTATACATACATGAACAGGTAAACAGTGCGAAGTGATCTGGGTGTTGTACAATCAGATATATACATACATGATCAAGTAAACAATGTCAGGTGATCTGGGTGTTGTACAATCAGATATATACATACATGATCAAGTAAACAATGTCAGGTGATCTGGGTGTTGTACAATCAGATATATACATACATGATCAAGTAAACAATGTCAGGTGATCTGGGTGTTGTACAATCAGATATATACATACATGATCAAGTAAACAATGTCAGGTGATCTGGGTGTTGTACAATCAGATATATACATACATGATCAAGTAAACAATGTCAGGTGATCTGGGTGTTGTACAATCAGATATATACATACATGATCAAGTAAACAATGTCAGGTGATCTGGGTGTTGTACAATCAGATATATACATACATGATCAAGTAAACAATGTCAGGTGATCTGGGTGTTGTACAATCAGATATATACATACATGATCAAGTAAACAATGTCAGGTGATCTGGGTGTTGTACAATCAGATATATACATACATGATCAGGTAAACAATGTCAGGTGATCTGGGTGTTGTACAATCAGATATATACATACATGATCAGGTAAACAATGTCAGGTGATCTGGGTGTTGTACAATCAGATATATATGCATACATGATCAAGTAAACAATGTCAGGTGATCTGGGTGTTGTACAATCAGATATATACATACATGATCAGGTAAACAATGTCAGGTGATCTGGGTGTTGTACAATCAGATATATACATACATGATCAAGTAAACAATGTCAGGTGATCTGGGTGTTGTACAATCAGATATATACATACATGATCAAGTAAACAATGTCAGGTGATCTGGGTGTTGTGTACAATCAGATATATACATACATGATCAAGTAAACAATGTCAGGTGATCTGGGTGTTGTACAATCAGATATATACATACATGATCAAGTAAACAATGTCAGGTCAGTGATCTGGGTGTTGTACAATCAGATATATACATACATGATCAAGTAAACAATGTCAGGTGTCTGGGTCTGGGTGTTGTACAATCAGATATATACATACATGATCAGGTAAACAATGTCAGGTGATCTGGGTGTTGTACAATCAGATATATACATACATGATCAAGGTAAACAATGTCAGGTGATCTGGGTGTTGTACAATCAGATATATACATACATGATCAGGTAAACAATGTCAGGTGATCTGGGTGTTGTACAATCAGATATATACATACATGATCAGGTAAACAATGTCAGGTGATCTGGGTGTTGTACAATCAGATATATACATACATGATCAAGTAAACAATGTCAGGTGATCTGGGTGTTGTACAATCAGATATATACATACATGATCAAGTAAACAATGTCAGGTGATCTGGGTGTTGTACAATCAGATATATACATACATGATCAAGTAAACAATGTCAGGTGATCTGGGTGTTGTACAATCAGATATATACATACATGATCAAGTAAACAATGTCAGGTGATCTGGGTGTTGTACAATCAGATATATACATACATGATCAAGTAAACAATGTCAGGTGATCTGGGTGTTGTACAATCAGATCATATACATACATGATCAAGTAAACAATGTCAGGTGATCTGGGTGTTGTACAATCAGATATATACATACATGATCAAGTAAACAATGTCAGGTGTTCTGGGTGTTGTACAATCAGATATATACATACATGATCAAGTAAACAATGTCAGGTGATCTGGGTGTTGTACAATCAGATATATACATACATGATCAAGTAAACAATGTCAGGTGTTCTGGGTGTTGTACAATCAGATATATACATACATGATCAGGTAAACAATGTCAGGTGATCTGGGTGTTGTACAATCAGATATATACATACATGATCAGGTAAACAATGTCAGGTGATCTGGGTGTTGTACAATCAGATATATACATACATGATCAGGTAAACAATGTCAGGTGATCTGGGTGTTGTACAATCAGATATATACATACATGATCAAGTAAACAATGTCAGGTGATCTGGGTGTTGTACAATCAGATATATACATACATGATCAAGTAAACAATGTCAGGTGATCTGGGTGTTGTACAATCAGATATATACATACATGATCAAGTAAACAATGTCAGGTGATCTGGGTGTTGTACAATCAGATATATACATACATGATCAAGTAAACAATGTCAGGTGATCTGGGTGTTGTACAATCAGATATATACATACATGATCAAGTAAACAATGTCAGGTGATCTGGGTGTTGTACAATCAGATATATACATACATGATCAAGTAAACAATGTCAGGTGATCTGGGTGTTGTACAATCAGATATATACATACATGATCAAGTAAACAATGTCAGGGTGATCTGGGTGTTGTACAATCAGATATATACATACATGATCAAGTAAACAATGTCAGGTGATCTGGGTGTTGTACAATCAGATATATACATACATGATCAAGTAAACAATGTCAGGGGTGATCTGGGTGTTGTACAATCAGATATATATACATACATGATCAAGTAAACAATGTCAGGTGATCTGGGTGTTGTACAATCAGATATATACATACATGATCAAGTAAACAATGTCAGGTGATCTGGGTGTTGTACAATCAGATATATACATACATGATCAAGTAAACAATGTCAGGTGTTCTAGGTGTTGTACAATCAGATATATACATACATGATCAAGTAAACAATGTCAGGTGATCTGGGTGTTGTACAATCAGATATATACATACATGATCAAGTAAACAATGTCAGGTGATCTGGGTGTTGTACAATCAGATATATACATACATGATCAAGTAAACAATGTCAGGTGATCTGGGTGTTGTACAATCAGATATATACATACATGATCAAGTAAAGAATGTCATGTGTTCTGGGTGTTGTACAATCAGATATATACATACATGAGCAGGTAAACAATGTCAGGTGATCTGGTTGTTGTACAATCAGAATCTCCGATCCTACTAGTAGAGATTGTAATCGTAGTCTCTACTGGTTGAATCGGAGATCTCTACTAGTAGGATCGGAGATTCTACCAGTAGAGACTCCGATCACAATCTCTACTGGTAGAGACTCCGATCGCAATCTCTACTGGTAGAATCTCCGATTCTACCAGATCGCAGTCTCTACCCTGACATATACATACATGATCAAGTAAACAATGTCAGGTGATCTGGGTGTTGTACAATCAGATATATACATACATGAGCAGGTAAACAATGTAGGGTGATCTGGGTGTTGTACAATCTGTTGTATACATACATGATCAGGTAAACAATGTCAGGTGATCTGGGTGTTGTACAATCAGATATACACATACATGATCAAGTAAAGAATGTCATGTGTTCTGGGTGTTGTACAATCAGATATATACATACATGAGCAGGTAAACAATGTCAGGTGATCTGGTTGTTGTACAATCAGATATATACATACATGAGCAAGTAAACAATGTCAGGTTTTCTGGGTGTTGTACAATCAGATATATACATACATGAGCAGGTAAACAATGTCAGGTGATCTGGATGTTGTACAATCTGTTGTATACATATATGATCAGGTAAACAATGTCAGGTGATCTGGGTGTTGTACAATCAGATATATACATACATGATCAAGTAAACAATGTCAGGTGATCTGGGTGTTGTACAATCAGATATATACATACATGATCAGGTAAACAATGTCAGGTGATCTGGGTGTTGAACAATCAGTTATAGATATGTACAATCAGGTGATCCGATTGTCGTAGAATCAGTTATATACATACATGAGCACTTAAACATTGCAATGCTTGTATTGTTATGAAGGGGTTGCGTTCAATATTTTTGCGGTGTAATGGTGTAGTGGAGTGTTGCCTGGTAGTGTTATGAAGGCAATGTTACAATGTTGTATTCTGCAGGGCTGGCATGTAACTATGTAAATCTTTGATCTGCTGTTGTACACGTTTGTCATGTGGAAATATGAGTAATATTTGACTTGTGTTCTGATTGCCTTGTATGGTCTTGTACTTTTGCATTGGGAAGAAACAGAGAGTGGTCAACCCTGCCAGGAAAATGTCCGCAGGACAATAAATCCGGACATCACATGCATACTGCTCATGTATTCCTGTTTCAAAAGTCGATAGGAAGTGAACAGTGGCTGTTAAATGAAACTGTTTGGATGCCAACGATCGTACCGCAGTGGCAATTTGGTGCCTGACTCTGAGGATGTGGGTTCGAATCTCATATGGGACTCAACCCAACAAAAGTACTCGAATATGTACTTTACTGAGAAAGTGTAATCCCAAATACAACATTTGTTATATTGACCACTTTCTAAATGTCATTGTGTATTCACAAGATCTCTTAGACTTGTAAAACCGTAGTGGGCAATCATCACAATCACGACAATAAATCCTTTGTGTTTCAGGAAACGAATTGCTCCGGTCAGCACTGGCCTCATACAGTGACCAGGTTTTTGAGATGAAGCAACGCGGACGTGCTAACCCACTGGACATAAGTCAGGCAGTTCACGACGCCGGCAGCAGCGGAGAGCCTTCAACAACAGGCAAAAATGCCATGCTGGTGTATTTTGGTACGTGGAAGTATGAGGTGAAACCTGATGGTGAAGTGGTGTTGTGTAGATAGTTATTTAAAGTATTGTGTAGTGTTGTGTGAAGGATACGGTATGTATCATAGAGTGGTGTTGTGTCAAGGATAGTTATATAAAGTATTGTGTAGTGTTGTGTGTAGGATACGGTATGTATCATAGAGTGGTGTTGTGTCAAGGATAGTGATATGAAGTGTTGTGTAGTGCTGTGTGAAGGATACGGTATATGTCATAGAGCGGTGTTGTGTCAAGGATAGTGATATGAAGTGTTGTGTAGTGTTGTGTGAAGGACAGGGGTATATAGCATAGAGTGGTGTTGTGTCAAGGATAGTGATATGAAGTGTTGTGAAGTGTTGTGTGAAGGATACGGTATATGTCATAGAGTGGTGTTGTGTCAAGGATAGTGATATAAAGTGCTGTGTAGTATTGTGTGAAGGATACGGAATATGTCATAGAGTGGGGTTGTGTCAAGGATAGTGATATAAAGTGTTGTGTAGTGTTGTGTGAAGGATACGGTATATATCATAGAGCGGTGTTGTGTCAAGGATAGTGATATGAAGTGTTGTGTGAAGGACAGGGGTATATATCATAGAGTGGTGTTGTGTCAAGGATAGTGATATGAAGTGTTGTGTAGTGTTGTGTGAAGGACAGGGGTATATAGCATAGAGTGGTGTTGTGTCAAGGATAGTGATATGAAGTGTTGTGTGAAGGATACGGTATATGTCATAGAGTGGGGTTGTGTCAAGGATAGTGATATGAAGTGTTGTGTAGTGTTGTGTGAAGGACAGGGGTATATATCATAGAGTGGTGTTGTGTCAAGGATAGTGATATGAAGTGTTGTGTAGTGTTATGTGAAGGACAGGGGTATATATCATAGAGTGGTGTTGAGTCAAGGATAGTGATATAAAGTGTTGTGTAGTGTTGTGTGAAGGATACGGTATATGTCATAGAGTGGTGTTGTGTCAAGGATAGTGATATAAAGTGTTGTGTAGTGTTGTGTGAAGGATACGGTATATGTCATAGAGTGGTGTTGTGTCAAGGATAGTGATATAAAGTGTTGTGTAGTGTTGTGCAGGGGTATATAGCATAGAGCGGTGTTGTGTGTAGGGGAGTGGCACAGAGTATGGAGTGGTGTTGTGTGCAGTGGGGTGGTACATAGTATTGAGTGGTGTTGTGTGTAGAAGTGCGGTACAGAGTATGGTGTCGTGTTGTGTGAAGAAGAGTGGTACACAGTATGGAGTGGTGTTGTGTGAAGGACAGAGTTATATAGAATAGAGTGATGTTGTGTGTAGGGGGGTGGTACAGAGTATGGAGTGGTGTTGTGTGCAGGGGAGAGGTACAGAGTATGGAGTGGTGTTGTGTCTAGAAGAGTGGTACAGAGTATGGAGTTGTGTAGGAGAATGATGCGGAGTGCTGTGTAGCGCTGTATGGAGTACATGTTTACATAACGAATGGTTATTCTGCTCAAAGCACCAGGCACTCGCCATGTTGCAGTTGCTACGACAGTCTAGTTCTGCAAATGAAGTACCCGGATGTACCAATCGTGCGCTGTAGTTCTAATGCATTGTCTTGCATGTCTAAGCCGATTTAGTATTGAATAGTCTGTTGTAATGGTTTGTTTGTCCAGTTAATGACTGATGGTACCCAGGTGAACATTTAGGGGACGTGCCACGGCAGCCAAAAGACGTCCAAAGGCAATGCCTCCATTTACAGCAGTATTGTATCCTCCTTACCGAAAAATACCAATTATTGTCTGAAAGCAAAGCGGCTTCATATAGACCATGTTCCTGCTCACGATTCCTCAGAACATTTGGTGTATATTGAGAACTTCTTTTTCTCCATGATATTTCCATGCAATTTGACACTTTCAAAAGGCAAACTTGTTTTTAAGGTACCAAAGATGTTTAGTAGGTGGTATTCGTTCCATGGACGCAAAGAACTTTGTGAAGGCGAACCTATAACAATCTAACACAATTGCGAATTATATTTGTAATTCCACCTTTGAGTTTCGTTTTTGGGAAAGTATGCGCTGAATTGAAGGACGAAGCTGCGATTTAGTTTGTATCCGCTTAACACGTCTAACTCGCCTGTCAACATTCTTCTCAATGCATGCCTGGGGGCATGGTGGGCGAGCTGTCTAAAGCGCAAGGCTAGTGATCCAGCGAGCTTCAGGTGTAAGGATCGAGCCCACCTATGACCGGTCGTAAAAACCCTTGGAGGCAACTTTGTCACAGCCCATAGTGTACAGTTCACAACCCTGTGCACTTAAAAGAGCCCACGAATCCGTTGGGATATAACCAGATGGTGGGCACATGAACACGTGCAAACACCTAACTGGACAAAGTACTGTGACTATGTGTCCCAGTCCACCCAGCTGTGAATGGGTACCTCGTGAGGATGGGAATGCCGCAATAACTCGGTGCTCCTAGTGGCTGCAAGAGTTGTAAGCTCCCCAGACAGTTGGGATCGATATTACGATGTGCCGTTGAGATTAACATCCAACGAATGAGGGATAGAGGGGGAAAATACTAGCGCCTTGAGCATGTACTTGTTGCGTGAATAAGTGAGGTATGTAAATATCATGTCATAATCATAAAATATCGTCTTCAATCCAGAAAACTCAGTATGGAGAGATACTACTTCGTCTCTGACGTACCCTCGCGCTGGCATCCCTCAATGATAGTGCTCATGCTGTCACTTTGGCATCAATATTCATACATTGATTCAGTTTTGTTTGATTTAGCTGATGTAGGTAAACAACTGTTTGAATACTGTAGGTTTATTTACACGCGCAGAGGAGATACTAGTAGTTACTAGTAGAAGTTAATGCCTCCGCCTACACAGCACATTTGTGTCAACAAAACTTTTGTACAATTGTTTGGTATTAATTGTAAAAAAGAAATCAGATATTGGTTAAGCAAATTGTGTTTCATATTTGCGATATGTCACCCGTTGTCAGGGCAACTGGTTGCTGATGAAATTGCCAGTGCCCGTAGTGCAGGGTGTCCACCCGAGTATGAAAATATTCCGGTACCCGAGGGACATCTCTACAAAGACACAGCTGATGAGATGGTCTTCAAGAGGGCTGGTTACAATCAGAGGACAGGAGTCTCCCCCAACTACCCCAGACAGCAGGTAGGTTGTCTAGGGGACTGGCAGGTATCTCCCACCCCCCTCCCAAACCCCCTACCCCCACCACTAAATACATCAGAGGGCAGACTAGGAGTCTTACCTAACTATACCAGGTAACCAGGTCACACGCCGCGGCTATCATAAATTGTACACACTTGATTCTTTGGTAAAATATTTTCGTAAAACAACACTAATATTTAAAACATGTTTTGATTCTGCCTAGTCACAAACATTGTGCAAGTGTTTCCAAAACACCACAGGTATCGTACCCAATTACAACATTGCTTGGAAAATATTCATATGTTTTTTTTGAAATAGTCCCAAAACATGTACGTCAGTATAGATGTCAGACAAGCATTCACTTTACCCCTAACTATCCCAGTTGAGGGTATATGAGTTTCTCATCGTAAAGGAAGCAGTGGGGGCATCTGTCTCTCCTGTGAGCCCCAGCCAACAGTGGTTGAATGTATTTCTACCTTATGAAGCAAAACATAAGCATACATCTACATTAAAGGAGCGACATCTAATGGGCATCTAAACCGTGTGGGTCGTTTGGACGATGTTTAACCCTGTGCCTTCAGAGCCAGCAGTAGCACTTCAATTACAATGTAGTACTTCTGGGTGTTACAGCTGTAGTACGTCTGAGTGTTACAGCTGTAGTACTTCTGGGTGTTACAGCTGTAGTTAGTCTGTGTGTAACAGCTGTAGTACGTCTGGGTGTTACGGCTGTAGTACTTCTGGGTGTTACAGCTGAAGTACGTCTGTGTGTAACAGCTGTAGTACGTCTGGGTGTTACGGCTGTAGTACTTCTGGGTGTTACAGCTGTAGTACTTCTGGGTGTTACAGCTGTAGTACGTCTGGGTGTTACGGCTGTAGTACTTCTGGGTGTTACAGCTGTAGTACGTCTGGGTGTTACAGCTGTAGTATGTCTGGGTGTTACAGCTGTAGTACGTCTGGGTGTTACAGCTGTAGTACGTCTGGGTGTTACAGCTGTACTTCTTCTGGGTGTTACAGCAGAATGATGTGACGCCGTACCTTGACGCAGGGTTCCTATACGGAACAACGCGATTCTGGACCAACGCAATCAGGGAATTTAGAGGGGGTAGATTGAAGAGGCTGTCGCCTGTGGGCGTTAAGACAAGTTTCCCTGATCTGAACACCTACCGTCTGCCACTGTCCAACCCACCAGTACCCCGGGACCACAGCTTACGGGAGGCCAGGCGATTCTTTCGTAAGTTGCAAGTGTAAATAACTTCTGTATAACATGTCATGTGAGTGATATGTAACATGCATGTAACCTCATGAACACATTCTGGGGTATGGAAACGATATTTCATATCCGCACTGCCAGTAACACAAAACCCTATACTAAATGCATCTCCATGTAGCAGTCATCTTCAAACTGGAGTAGATTTGTTTGGTTTCTCTGCAGTCATGGGCAACAGAAGAGGCCACGAGAACCCGTTCCTGTTGAGTCTCCAGATTGTCTGGTTCCGATGGCACAACCATCTCGCTGATGACATTTCCAGTAACAATTCCACACTAACAGATGAACAGGTGTTCGAGGAAGCCCGACGCCGAGTTATTGCCCACTTCCAGGTAGTTTCTGCCGGCAGACCATGTTGAGATGAAGGGAACATTGCTGACATTATACTGCTGACATTTTGAAATGTGCATATTACAAGGAAAAGAAATTTTTGAAAACATTATTACACTAAGAACCACCCACAACAAGTTGGTTTGTAACTGAAGAACGTGACAACTGTTCTTGTGTTATGCTGTAAACGTAACACCGAATAATGAAATTTTAATCCCCATGCTTTATTTTTGTTTTCAGAAAATTGTTGTAAAGGATTGGCTTCCCCAATACCTGGGGCCGGGCCCCGACAACCCCGCGTACAGAGGTCAGTCACGACTGGGTGACCTGGTCAGCAGGTTCCTGGAGATACCAGGCTGCATCTTCCTTTATTGTTCTTGTATAGCTATGCGTTTCCTACTCATCCATGTATCTCTTCGAGGGGACATCAGTCCAGATTGGTAGTGTATATAGAGCTTTTAACCTCGTACGTTTCCCGACTATGCGAGCCTTATATATGTTTTTTAAAATATCTATATATATGATATTAATGATACCGAAACACACGATTTTAATAATCTCTTTATCATAACATGTCATTCTTATAATTACTCTAAAAAATGAAGCAAATCGTATATGAATGTATTTGAAGAGAATCGGGCATTTGCGTAAGAATACTGAGCGGTACACCTAAGGTGTAGGCCGTTCCTGTCGGCGGCATATGGTTGTGACTAGTCGTTAATGTAGTGCGAACATAACAAATTATCTCTGTTATGCCATGTTTATTCTACCCACCCATGTATCTTCCCCGAGGGTGCCTATACTCAAATTATCTCTGTAATGCCATGTTTATTCTACCCACCCATGTATCTTCCCCCAGGGTAAAATCCGAGGGTGCCTATTCTCAAATTATCTCTGTAATGCCATGTTTATTCTACCCACACATGTATCTCCCCCAGGGTACAACCCCAGAGTACACCCAGGCATCACCCAGGAGTTTGCCATGGCAGCCATGAAGTACGGCCACACCCTCGTTCCTGCCGGAGTCTGGACAATCAGGTATACTCCATTTATACAATCAGGTATACTCTATTTATACAATCACACTATTGATACAATCAGGTATACTCTATTTAAACAATCACACTATTGATACAATCAGGTATACACTATTTATACAAACAGGTATACTCTACTTATAAAATGACACTATTTCGGCAGTCTGGTATGCACTATTTATACAATCAGGTATACACTTTTTATACAATCAGGTATACACTTTTTATACAATCAGGTATACACTAATTATACAATCAGGTGTGCACTATTTACGCAATCAGACATACACTATTTATGCAATCATGTATACACTATTTATACAATCAAGTATACACAACTTATACAATTAGGTATACGCTATTTATACAATCAGATATACAGTATTTAGACAATTAGGCATACACTATTTATACAAGCAGGTATACCCTATTTATACAATCAAGCATACACTACTTATACAATCAGGTATACGCTATTTATACAATCAGATATACAGTATTTATACAATCAGGTATACACTATTTATACAAGCAGGTATACCCCATTTATACAATCAGGTATACACTATTTATACAATCAGGTATACACTATTTATACAATCAGGTATACACTACTTATACAGTCAGGTATACCTTGTCTATACAATCAGGTATACACTATTTATACAGTCAGGTATACACTGTCTATACAATCAGGTATACACTATTTATACAGTCAGGTATACACTGTCTATACAATCAGGTATACACTATTTATACAGTCTGGTATACACTGTCTATACAATCAGGTATACACTGTCTATACAATCAGGTATACCCTATTTATACAGTCAGGTATACACTGTCTATACAATCAGGTATACACTATTTATACAGTCAGGTATACACTGTCTATACAATCAGGTATACACTAATTATGCAGTCAGGTATACACTATTTATACAAGCAGGTATACCCTATTTATACAATCAGGTATACACTCTTTATACACAGGTAATCAGGCATACATTATTTATGCAATCAGGTATACACTATTTATACAATCAGGTAGGCACTATTTATACAATCAGGTATACATTATTTATGCAATCAGGTATACACTATTTATGCAATCAGGTATACACTATTTATACAATCAGGTATACACTATTTATGCAATCAGGTATACACTCTTTATACAATCAGGCATACATTATTTATGCAATCAGGTATACACTATTTATACAATCAGGTATACACTATTTATGCAATCAGGTATACACTATTTATGCAATCAGGTATACACTATTTATGCAATCAGGTATACACTATTTATGCAATCAAGTATACACTATTTATGCAATCAGGTATACACTATTTATACAATCAAGTATACACTATTTATGCAATCAAGTATACACTATTTATGCAATCAGGTATACACTCTTTATACAATCAAGTATACACTATTTATGCAATCAGGTATACACTCTTTATACAATCAAGTATACACTATATGCCAGCGTGTTAGTGTATGTAGAATGATGTTTACCCATTGTTTGTTCCAGTAACGACTGCAGCAACACCACAACCTCCGACCAGGGCCCAGACGGCGAAAACAGGCCCGTACAGGCTATCAGGCTATGCAACACATACTGGGACTCGCGGGTACTTGGTCTTACCTATTCATTCCCAAGCTGAAACTGAAAGTTGATTGAGGAAAGAACTTGGTGTGAAACCACCAAACAACAAATGCAACACGATATGAGTAACAACTGTATTCTAACATTACCTCAATTTACAAATCATTGCCAAGGTATTACAGAGGCAGGACATATTTGAGGGGTAGTATAACACACCAGCAGCGGTTATAGCTATCAAAATAAAGATGATAATATTCACCCACCTGCAGCCTGGGTAGGAATGAGCTCCACTGGTTATCTTGAAACGTTAGGTGTAAAGTGAGATGAGAGGCAAGAGTTGAACAAGATTCCAGATCTTTTTTATAATGCTTTCTGCGTCACTGGGTAGGCTCCATAACGATGGTATGCAACAAAATCACGCTCTGGTACTTGGTGGAACACATAATGACGCTCTGGTACTTGGTGGAACACATAATGACGCTCTGGTACTTTGTGGAACACATAATGACGCTCTGGTACTTGGTGGAACACATAATGACGCTCTGGTATTTGTTGGGACACATAATGACGCTCTGGTACTTGTTGGAACACATAATGACGCTCTGGTACTTGGTGGAACACATAATGACGCTCTGGTACTTGGTGGAACACATAATGACGCTCTGGTATTTGTTGGGACACATAATGACGCTCTGGTACTTGTTGGAACACATAATGACGCTCTGGTACTTGGTGGAACACATACTGACGCTCTGGTACTTGGTGGAGCACATAATGACGCTCTGGTACTTGGTGGAACACATAATGACGCTCTGGTACTTGTTGGGACACATAATGACGCTCTGGTTCTTGGTGGAACACATGACATTCGGGTACTTTGTTCAAAGGTCCATGGCGTACCGCAAATTGATATTTGGGTGCATCTAGAAAGCTTTTAACTTCTCAAGTCTGTCTTCTCAAAGAAGACATAGAACACTAATCTGTGGAAGCTCACCTGGATATATTGTGTTCCAGGATCTGGTACAACAAAACATCAACAGTATTCTCCAGGGAATGACGCTTACACTGGCGAAGGCCGACAACCCGTCGTATGTGCCTGACTTGAGAGGTAAATGGCACAGTATATATACTGAAGCTATCCCTTTGATGTTCTGTCTCATGATCGTCAGAGGTCCGTAATGAGGGGTTTAACTTGGCTTTAGAGAATATTTCACTATGCATATACGTATGTGTGGTTTCTAGGTTTCTAGGGTATATAGGTCATTTGACACGACTCGGTGAAGGGATCTCACCAGTGGGCGAATGTCCACTACTCCAAGGTGCCAGTTGCTATCGACTTCATACATAAATCACACCATAGTGGTCCTACCTGCATGTTTCAGAGTATCTGTACGGACCGTATGAGTTCTCTCGGCAAGATCTAGCAGCACTTGATATCCAGAGGTCACGTGATCATGGACTCGCCAGCTACAATGCAGTACGTCAAGCTTACAATTTGTCGTCTGCTACGTCCTGGAGCGATATCACAAACGACGCAAGAACCCAAGATGTAAGTAATTCAGGGGAAGCGTACTTGATCGGCACTGGTTTAATTCATATTAGCGATGTGTTTTAATTTTTTTTTCAGTGCATTAACTAGAATATCTGTGCACCAGGGCCCCGTTCCACATCGCTGAGATGATCGTAACTCACATACTTTAACATAGACTTACGGCTGTCGTAGCGCTACGATCGCTTTGAGGAACGGGGCCGAGGAAGCAACAACATCTGGTTTATCTACGATGCATCCACAGCTGTGTTACCAGAATGTTTCTTCCACCCTGAACAGAGACTGCAGGCAGTATATGGCAACACGTCCTTCCCGGAAAACCTTGACCTTATCACCGGGGGACTGCTTGAGACAAGGGGTAACGGACCGGGGAAGCTATTTTCCCTCATCATACAAGACCAGTTCCAGCGCATCATAGACGGAGACAGGTTCTGGTACGAAAACCCGCGGAATGGGTACGTCATCAGTTAGGAAGCGAGTTTATTGTCATCTTCTTGTAGCAAAATATTGCCTTTGGAAACGGATTCAAACCAGCCTACATCGCGAGAAGACATGAGTCGGAAAAGATCGCGTATTCCGAGTTCGTATCAATCAATTTACAAGGCTGTCTTCATGGGACAAGGTCAAGCCAAATTCCAATCTGTAAACAGTTCTGTATATATACGAATTACTACTGGGAAACATAATCATCAGTCAGAGTCTTTAATCAGCTTGTTGTCAGTTAATGTATATACTTTCGTTTGTACCCTGCCGACTATAATAAAGAGTAAAATATGTTGCAGACTTTTCAGCCGAGATGAAATACGACAGATTAACAGTTTGACGTTCCGGCAAATCTTATTGAACGTCACAGACATTCAAGAAAATAATTTGCCCAATGGTGTCTTCAGCTGTCGAGGTGAGTGACCGAGGTTATTGTTGGTTGGAGTTTAAAGCAGCAGAGATGAAAGGCAATTGAAAATACTGCAGATGCACCAATTTGTGATACATGGAGGAGGGGGTGACAGAGATTATTTTAACTCCCTTCATCATGTAGTCCCATACATCAACTGAATGTATTCATCCACCAAATATGTCTCAGTGTTATTATTTACTTATTCATCATAGAACAAAATATTATTGAGGTAACATTTAATGTAATTTTTATGTAAATCCCCGTCGTGGGTTTCAGGGAATGTGTCATGTAACTGTCGGTCGCCTCCAAATGTCGACGGAAACAACAACACAATGTTTGGCGTCTGCAGCAAGCTACAAACATACGACTTCTTCACTGGCAGCGAGGCATCCTTTGCACTCTCAATCCTGGCAACCGGTCTCTCCATTCCAGGTATATATGGTTTGTTTTATCTCATTCCTTATCCATCCGAGATTATGAGAAAGAGATTTGAAACTTACGAGAAAATCAGTCAGTATAATATTGACAGGTAGCCTGTTCCACAGACATGGCGCTGGATGTCGGAAAGATCGCTTGCCGAATGAAGCTAAGCGGATATAGGGGACTGTTAACAGGAACTGGTTTTGAGATCCAAGAGTTCAGGTTGGGGTGTATTCTGTGAAAAGAGCCTTGAAATAAGCTGGTGCAAGATTATGTAGACACCTGTAGACAATGCAGAGGAGCTTAAAGCCAAAATGAGATGGAATAGGAAGCCAATGTAGGAAATGTTGAAAATAGGGCTAAGTGATCTGAGTTGGATTTCAAAGAAACAATGCGAGCAGCTGTGTTCTGAACTTTTTTCAGTTTGTAAAGCTGAGCGTTGCTACAAGTAGTGTATTACAGTAATCTAATCGAGAGGGAGACAAGACACCTGACAAGGGCCTGACCACTTTTTCTAGTAATCCAATTGGAAGTTTCCAATCATGCGCAGATGAATGTAGCATGTTATACAGAGTTTATCTAATTGAGCTCCCATTGGAAGATGTGAATTAATCCAGACACCTAGATCTTTCACAAATGTTGAAAACGTAGCTTCTGAAGATCCAATGTTAACTTTTCTGTCAATGATGCCATTCTGGGTGCCGTTCCACTAACCGATCTTAGCCCTATGCCAATCGTAAACCCCTAAAATCCCAATCTTAGCGTGACGTTACGATCGGCATACCGTTCCACTAACCAATCTTACCTAAGTCAATCGTAAAGTTAAGATTCAAAGTCTAAGTTGCTCATGACCAACTTAGGATAGCTATAATCAATCGTAGAGAAACCAAAATGGTGACTTTCCTATTCTTTGTGAAAAATAAGAGCGAGCATTTCACCGTAAGCGTCCCCTAAAGTCCCCCATGAAATGAATTTGTATATTTCTGTGATGTAAACAAACACTGCACTGAAGCCTTACAAATGTCAGACCAGTCTGACCACTGTCGTCATTGGAACACAACCGAGCGTGTCGGTGTAACACATTTGTACAACAATATTGCAACGTCATGGTTAAGAATAGGGACAGCCGTGAAGTGAACAATGTTCTGAAGCAAAAAGATACAAATATGTTTGATTTCACTGCGCATATTTGGTGTGGGATTCTAAAGACAGGCCGCGTGTTATTCAAGACCACTGACAGATTCTACATACTTTATATATAGCCTCGTCACGCCTTGTTTATTCTGATTGACAAGGTTCAGGCACATATTAAAAGCTCTGACACAATGACATTTTTAAAGTCCAGACTTAAAACCTGTTCTCAGTATATTACTTATAATCTCGGCTGTAAATATTCTCGTGTAAATTATCTGTACACAGCGCTTTGAGCATGCCCAAGGATGTGGAATAGGCGCACTATAAATATGCATTTATTATTATTATATTATGCTTGATACCCAGCGTTCTCACGCACTTGCACCTGAAACCAAGGTGCTCACTACCCTAATATTTTGCTTTAGTTTTTTTCTCCACGTTTACACTTGGTTGGAAAAATACCCATGAAGGCCCGGGTTAGAATATTGAACTTCAATAACCCATGCCTGTCGTAAGAGGCCACTAACGGGATCGGGTGGTCAGGCTCGCTGACTTGGTTGACACATGTCATCGGTCCCCAACTGCGCAGATCGATGCGCATGCTGTTGATCACTGGATTGTCTGGTTTAACCTCGATTATTTATAGCTAAGATACATAGCGTTCACTAACATGAACGCTCATGCTAGTGAACGCTATGCATCTTAGCTAGATTATTTACCGACCGCCGCCATATAGCTGGACTATTGCTGAGGGCAGCGTAAATCTAAACTCACTCACTCACTCAGTTGGTTCGTAAACTACTTCCATCATTTTCTAGACTATGCAAAGGGAGATAACTCGTGCCTCGCATTCCTCCATCTCTCGCACGAAAGAGTCTCGATCTAAGCTTGGATCGGATCGTAAGATCGGGACCGGCTACGATCGGCCTAAGATCGGTTAGTGGAACGGGTGTAACTTTTAGCTAAGACGATTGTAAAATTGGCGTAACTTGCTAAGATTGATCTTAGTTAAGATCGGTTAGTGGAACGGCACCCTGGTATTGCTGCTTGACAACACGTAGGACTTCAGTAATCATCATTGAGTTGGAGGGTTACTTGTCATCCGTGATTTTATCGCATGAGTACAATTATCGATTTGCTTGAAAGTGGACTGAGCTGAGTTTGACATAAATCATTTACCAGTTGATTATCATGGGCATAGGAGTAATGAGGAGTGTTGATTTTGTCTGTAATTGAGGAAAGCTGATTCACGTAGAGGAGGAATAGAATAGGTCCCAGAACAGATACTTTTGGGAAGCACCAAAGTTAACATTGCATCTGAGGTCCTAAATAATTGTGAAGAAGTGCCTTAGTGGAATGATGCGGTCGCCAAGCGGACTTATAGCCATCCAAAATATTGCTCACTGACAAATACTCATACCCCATAAGCCGCTTTGTACCAGCTCGCTCAATCAGCTTTGACAGGAATGATAGATTTGAAACTGGTCTATAGTTCTTGATGATGTTAGAATCCAACTTTTCGTTTTTGATGACATGTTTAACTATTGCACCTTTACAAGATTTCCGTACCTTGCATCCGCCCTTATCTCTCTTCTTGCCTCAGGCCTCTGTACCTTGCATCCGTCCTTCTATCTCACCTTGCCTCAGGCCTCTATACCTTGTATCCGCCCTTATCTCTCTTCTTGCCTCAGGCCTCCGTACCTTGCATCCGCCCTTATCTCTCTCTTCTTGCCTCAGGCCTCTGTACCTTGCATCCGTCCTTCTCTCTCTTCTTGCCCCAGACCTCTGTACCTTGTATCCGTCCTTCTATCTCACCTTGCCTCAGGCCTCTGTACCTTGCATCCGTCCTTCTCTCTCTTCTTGCCCCACGCCTCTGTACCTTGCATCCGTCCTTCTCTCTCTTCTTGCATCCGTCCTTCTCTCTCTCTTCTCTTGCCCCAGGCCTCTGTACCTTGCATCCGTCCTTCTCTCTCTTCTTTGCCTCAGGCCTCTATACCTTGCATCCGTCCTTCTCTCTTCTTGCTTGCCTCAGGCCTCTATACCTTGTATCCGTCCTTCCTCTCTGTACCTCCTCTTTGCCTCAGGCCTCCTCATGTACTTTCTGTATCCGTCCTTCTATCTCACCTTGCCTCAGGCCTCTGTACCTTGCATCCGTCCTTCTATCTCTTCTTGCCTCAGGCCTCTGTACCTTGCATCCGTCCTTCTCTCTCTTCTTGCCTCAGGCCTCTGTACCTTGTGGGTACCTTGTATCCGTCCTTCTCTTCTCTTCCTTGTGCTTGCCTCCTCAGGCCTCTGTACCTTGTAGTCCTTCTCTCTCTTCTTTGCCTCTATACCTCTCTCTTTGCCTCAGGCCTCTGTACCTTTGTATCCGTCCTTCTATCTCACCTTGCCTCAGGGCCTCCTTGTATCCGTCCTTCTATCTCACCTTTGCCTCAGGCCTCTATACCTTGTGCTGCATCCGTCCTTCTCTCCTCTCCTTCTTCTCTCTGCCTCAGGCCTCTGTACCTTGTATCCGTCCTTCTATCTCACCTTGCCTCAGGCCTCTGTACCTTCTCTCTTCCTCTATCCGCCTTCCTTCCTTCTCTCTCTTCTTGCCTCAGGCTCTTCTCTTCACCTTGCCTCAGGCCTCTGTACCTTGCATCCGTCCTTCTATCTCTCCTTGCCTCAGGCCTCTGTACCTTGCCATCCGCCCTTATCTCTCTCTCTCTTGCCTCAGGCCTCTGTACCGTCCTGCATCCTCCCCAGGCCTCTGTCCTTCTCTCTTCTTGCCTCAGTCCTCTATTCACCTTGTGATCCGTCTGTACCTTGGCTCCTCCGTCCTCCTTCTCTCTCATCTTGCCTCAGGCCTCTGTACCTTGCATCCGTCCTTCTATCTCACCTTGCCTCAGGCCTCCTTCTCTCTTCTTGCCCCACCTTGTATCCGTCCTTCCTCCCCTTCCATCCTTGCATCCGTCCTTCTATCTCACCTTTTGCCTCAGGCCTCTGTACTCCTTCTGCTCTCTCTTGCCTCAGGCCCTCTACCTTTGTATCCTCCGTCCTTTCTCTCTCTCCAGGCCTCTGCCTTTTATCCGTCCTTCTCTCTTCTTCTTGCCCCAGGCCTCTGTACCTTGCATCCGTCCTTCTATCTCTTCTTTGCCCCAGGCCTCTGTACCTTGTATCCGTCCTTCTATCTCACCTTGCCTCAGGCCTCTCTGTACCTTGTATCCGTCCTTCTCTCTCTTGACCCAGGCCTCTGTACCTTGTATCCGTCCTCTCTCTCTTCTTCTTGCCTCAGTCCTCTGTACCTCCTGTCTCATCCCTCAGTCCTTCCTTGTATCCGTCCCTCATCTCACCTTGCCTCAGGCCTCTGTACCTTGCATCCGTCCTTCTATCTCTGCCTTGTCTCCTCAGGCCTCCTTACCTTTGCCTCAGGCCTCCTCTATCTTGCATCCTCCCTTCTTGCCTCAGGGCCTCTATACCTTGTATCCGCCCTTATCTCTTCTCTTCCTTGTCCTTCTATCCCCTGTGCTTGGTCCTCTCTCCACCTTGCCTCAGGCCTTGCCCCAGGCCCCTCTCTCTTCTGCCTCAGGCCTCCTCCTTGTCCGTCCTCTCTCATCTTTCTCTCAGGCCTCTGTACCTTGCATCCGTCCTTCTCTCTCATCTTGCCTCAGGCCTCTGTACCTTGTATCCTTCTATCTCCTTCCTTCTATCTCACCTTGCCTCTCATCTCTATACCCTCTGTACCTTGCATCCGTCCTTCTCTCTCTCTCTTGACCCAGACCTCTGTACCTTGTATCCGTCTTTCTCTCTCCCATCCGGCCTCTGTACCTTGCATCCGTCTTCTCTCTCTCTGCCCGAGGTCCCTGTACCTGGAATCCCTCCTCTCTGCCCGGGGTCCTCTGGGATCCTCCCAGCATCCCTCTCTCCCTCTCTCTCATTTTACAGAGTTTCTTTGATGATGTAGAAACAGGTACTGTAACAGGAACTGTGATTTGTCTGTTTGTATGTGTGTAGGGTCTATCGGCGTGTTGATGCTGCTGGTCTGGTTACGGAAGAGAAGGGAGGCACAAAGGAACATGATGAGACCGAGGAAGACCGGGAAGACCAACACGTTTGCAGGTAGGAATCAGTCAGTTCCAGATATGTCAAGGCTGTCCAGTGTTGATGCATCACACGTTTAGTGGACCTTTTATAAGGTACAGGCTGAAGTCCTCCAAAAGTAGTGCTTGCACAGCCATGTTCCAATTAAGATAAACTATACTCTGCTTTTTAATGTACATTGGTAAATTACCTGTCTATTTAACCGAACTCAGTTATTAGCCCGGAACAAGCAGTTATACACCTGCATAAGTATCTGCTGGTATAATGGTGTATTTGTGTGCCAACAGCATGTGAGTGGTTGGGGCCAGAATCCGGGAACAGAAATGTCACAGTGGAGTTCGACAATCAACGGAAAAAGATAAAGGTGACGGACATGCGAGGCAGAGATGTTCGATACATTGACCTGCGCAACACAGAGAAGGCGACTCTCAGGTTATCTTACGACAAGCAACTTGACCTTCTCTCCCTGCGTGTACCCGGGGAGGTGGACCTGGTGAGACACTACATATACTAAATCTATAGGAGCAGGGGCAGTTAAGACACTACTTGTACTGGAGAAGGGTAGCTAGGACACTACATGTACACTAGCAATGGTGGTAAGGGCACTACATGTACACTAGCAATGGTGGTAAGGACACTACATGTACACTAGCAATGGTGGTAAGGACACTACATGTACATTAGCAATGGTGGTAAGGACACTACATGTACACCAGCAATGGTGGTAAGGACACTACATGTACACCAGAAGGGTAGTAAGGACACTACATGTACACCAGCAGTGGTGGTAAGGACACTACATGTACACTAGCAATGGTGGTAAGGACACTACATGTACACTAGCAATGGTGGTAAGGACACTACATGTACTGGGAGCAATGGTGGTAGGACACTACATGTACACTAGCAATGGTGGTAAGGACACTACATGTACACTAGCAATGGTGGTAAGGACACTACATGTACACTAGCAATGGTGGTAAGGACACCACATGTACACTAGCAATGGTGGTAAGGACACTACATGTACACTAGCAATGGTGGTAAGGACACTACATGTACACTAGCAATGGTGGTAAGGACACTACATGTACACTAGCAGTGGTGGTAAGGACACCACATGTACACTAGCAATGGTGGTAAGGACACTACATGTACACTAGCAGTGGTGGTAAGGACACTACATGTACACTAGCAATGGTGGTAAAGACACTACATGTACATTAGCAATGGTGGTAAGAACACTACATGTACATTAGCAGTGGTGGTAAGGACACTACATGTACTGGAGAAGGGTACCTAGGGCGCTACATGTACACTAGCAATGGTGGTAAGGACACTACATGTACACTAGCAATGGTGGTAAGGACACTACATGTACTGGAGAAGGGTAGCTAGGAGCACTACATGTACACTAGCAATGGTGGTAAGGACACTACATGTACACTAGCAATGGTGCTAAGGACACTACATGTACACTAGCAATGGTGGTAAGGACACTACATGTACACACTAGCAATGGTGGTAAGGACACTACATGTACACTAGCAATGGTGGCTAGGACACTACATGTACACTAGCAGTGGTGGTAAGGACACTACATGTACACTAGCAGTGGTGGTAAGGACACTACATGTACACTAGCAATGGTGGTAAGGACACTACATGTACACTAGCAATGGTGCTAAGGACACTACATGTACACTAGCAGTGGTGGTAAGGACACTACATGTACTGGAGAAGGGTAGCTAGGACACTACATGTACACTAGCAATGGTGGTAAGGACACTACATATACACTAGCAATGGTGGTAAGGACACTACATGTACACTAGCAATGGTGGTAAGGACACTACATGTACACTAGCAATGGTGGTAAGGACACTACATGTACACTAGCAATGGTGGTAAGGACACAACATGTACACTAGCAATGGTGGTAAGGACACTACATGTACACTAGCAATGGTGGTAAGGACACTACATGTACACTAGCAATGGTGGTAAGGACACTACATGTACACTAGCAATGGTGGTAAGGACACTACATGTACCAGCAATGGAGGAAGCTAGACACTGGTACTAGGAGCAACTACATGTACACTAGCAATGGTGGTAAGGACACTACATGTACACTAGCAATGGTGGTAAGGACACTACATGTACACTAGCAGTGGTGGTAAGGACACTACATGTACTGGAGAAGGGTAGCTAGGAGCACTACATGTACACTAGCAATGGTGGTAAGGACACTACATGTACACTAGCAATGGTGGTAAGGACACTACATGTACACTAGCAATGGTGGTAAGGACACTACATGTACACTAGCAATGGTGGTAAGGACACTACATGTACACACTAGCAATGGTGGTAAGGACACCACATGTACACCAGCAATGGTGGTAAGGACACCACATGTACACTAGCAATGGTGGTAAGGACACTACATGTACACTAGCAATGGTGGTAAGGACACTACATGTACACTAGCAATGGTGGTAAGGACACTACATGTACACTAGCAATGGTGGTAAGGACACTACATGTACACTAGCAATGGTGGTAAGGACACTACATGTACACTAGCAATGGTGGTAAGGACACTACATGTACTGGAGAAGGGTAGCCAGGACACCACATGTACACCAGCAATGGTGGTAAGGACACCACATGTACACTAAGCAATGGTGGTAAGGACACTACATGTACACACAGCAATGGTGGTAAGGACACTACATGTACACTGGAGAATGGTGGCCAGGAGCACCACATGTACACTAGCAATGGTGGTAAGGACACCACATGCACATGTACACCACCACATGCAATGGTGGTAAGGACACTACATGTACACTAGCAATGGTGGTAAGGACACCACATGTACACTAGCAATGGTGGTAAGGACACTACATGTACACCAGCAATGGTGGTAAGGACACTACATGTACACCAGCAATGGTGGTAAGGACACTACATGTACACTAGCAATGGTGGTAAGGACACCACATGTACTGGAGAAGGGTAGCTAGGACACTACATGTACACCAGCAATGGTGGTAAGGACACCACATGTACACTAGCAATGGTGGTAAGGACACCACACGTACACCAGCAATGGTGGTAAAGGACACCACATGTACACCAGCAATGGTGGGAAGGACACTACATAATGTACACCAGCAATGGTGGTAAGGACACTACATGTACACTAGCAATGGTGGTAAGGACACTACATGTACACTAGCAATGGTGGTAAGGACACTACATGTACACCAGCAATGGTGGTAAAGGACACTACATGTACACCAGCAATGGTGGTAAGGACACCACATGTACACCAGCAATGGTGGTAAGGACACTACATGTACACACTAGCAATGGTGGTAAGGGACACTACATGTACACTAGCAGTGGTGGTAAGGACACCATACATGTACTGGAGAAGGGTAGCTAGAGACACACCACATGTACACTATGCAGCAATGGTGGTAAGGACACCACATGTACATGTACACTAGCAATGGTGGTGGGACACTACATGTACACCAGCAATGGTGGTAAGGACACTACATGTACACTAGCAATGGTGGTAAGGACACTACATGTACACTAGCAATGGTGGTAAGGACACTACATGTACACCAGCAATGGTGGTAAGGACACTACATGTACACTAGCAATGGTGGTAAGGACACTACATGTACACTGGAGCAATGGTGGTAAGGACACTACATGTACACCAGCAATGGTGGTAAGGACACTACATGTACACTAGCAATGGTGGTAAGGACACTACATGTACACAAGCAATGGTGGTAAGGACACTACATGTACACCAGCAATGGTGGTAAGGACACTACATGTACACCAGCAATGGTGGTGAAGGACACTACATGTACACTAGCAATGGTGGTAAGGACACTACATGTACTGGAGAGCAATGGTGGTAAAGGACACTACATGTACACCAGCAATGGTGGGTAAGGACACTACATGTACACCAGCAATGGTGGTAAGGACACTACATGTACACTAGCAATATGGTGGTAAGGACACTACATGTACACTACAGCAAATGGCAAGGACACCTACATGTACACTAGCAGTGGTGGCTGGGGACACTACATGTACACTAGCAATGGTGGTAAGGACACTACATGTACACTAGCAATGGTGGTAGGACACTACATGTACACCAGCAATGGTGGTAAGGGCACTACATGTACACCAGCAATGGTGGTAAGGACACTACATGTACACCAGCAATGGTGGTAAGGACACTACATGTACTGGAGAAGGGTAGCTAGGACACTACATGTACACTAGCAATGGTGGTAAGGACACTACATGTACACTAGCAATGGTGGTAAGGACACTACATGTACACTAGCAATGGTGGTAAGGACACTACATGTACACTAGCAATGGTGGTAAGGACACTACATGTACACTAGCAATGGTGGTAAGGACACTACATGTACACTAGCAATGGTGGTAAGGACACTACATGTACACTAGCAATGGTGGTAAGGACACTACATGTACACTAGCAATGGTGGTAAGGACACTACATGTACACTAGCAATGGTGGTAAGGACACTACATGTACTGGAGAAGGGTAGCTAGGACACTACATGTACACTAGCAATGGTGGTAAGGACACTACATGTACACTAGCAATGGTGGTAAGGACACTACATGTACACTGGAGCAATGGTGGCTAGGAGCACTACATGTACACTAGCAATGGTGGTAAGGACACTACATGTACACTAGCAATGGTGGTAAGGACAGTACATGTACACTAGCAGTGGTGGTAAGGACACTACATGTAATACATAGCAAGGTGGTGCTAAGGACACTACATGTACACTAGCAGTGGTGGTAAGGACACTACATGTACACTGGAGAAGGGAGGACTAGGACACTACATGTACACTAGCAATGGTGGTAAGGACACTACATGTACACTAGCAATGGTGGTAAGGGACACTACATGTACACTAGCAATGGTGGTGGTAAGGACACTACATGTACACTAGCAATGGTGGTAAGGACACTACATGTACACTAGCAATGGTGGTAAGGACACTACATGTACACTAGCAATGGTGGTAAGGACACTACATGTACACTAGCAATGGTGGTAAGGACACTACATGTACACTAGCAATGGTGGAAAGGACACTACATGTACACTAGCAGTGGTGGTAAGGACACTACATGTACTGGAGAAGGGTAGCTAGGACACTACATGTACACTAGCAATGGTGGTAAGGACACTACATGTACACTAGCAATGGTGGTAAGGACACTACATGTACACTAGCAATGGTGGTAAGGACACTACATGTACACTAGCAGAAGGGTGGCTAGGAGCACTACATGTACACCAGCAATGGTGGTAAGGACACTACATGTACACTAGCAATGGTGGTAAGGACACTACATGTACACTAGCAATGGTGGTAAGGACACTACATGTACACTAGCAATGGTGGTAAGGACACTACATGTACACTAGCAATGGTGGTAAGGACACTACATGTACACTGGTGGTAAGGACAATGGTGGTAAAGGACACTACATGTACACTAGCAATGGTGGTAAGGACACTACATGTACACTAGCAGTGGTGGTAAGGACACTACATGTACACTAGCAATGGTGGTAAGGACACTACATGTACACTAGCAATGGTGGTAAGGACACTACATGTACACTAGCAATGGTGGTAAGGACACTACATGTACACTAGCAATGGTGGTAAGGACACTACATGTACACTAGAAGGGTGGCTAGGACACTACATGTACACTAGCAATGGTGGTAAGGACACTACATGTACACTAGCAATGGTGGTAAGGACACTACATGTACACTAGCAATGGTGGTAAGGACACTACATATACACTAGCAATGGTGGTAAGGACACTACATGTACACTAGCAATGGTGGCAAGGACACTACATGTACACTAGCAATGGTGGTAAGGACACTACATGTACACTAGCAATGGTGGTAAGGACACTACATGTACACTAGCAATGGTGGTAAGGACACTACATGTACACTAGCAATGGTGGTAAGGACACTACATGTACACTAGCAATGGTGGTAAGGACACTACATGTACACTGGAGAAGGGTAGCTAGGACACTACATGTACACTAGCAATGGTGGTAAGGACACTACATGTACACTAGCAATGGTGGTAAGGACACTACATGTACACTAGCAATGGTGGTAAGGACACTACATGTACACTAGCAATGGTGGTAAGGACACTACATGTACACTAGCAATGGTGGTAAGGACACTACATGTACACTAGCAATGGTGGTAAGGACACTACATGTACACTAGCAATGGTGGTAAGGACACTACATGTACTGGAGAAGGGTAGCTAGGACACTACATGTACACTAGCAATGGTGGTTAGGACACTACATGTACACTAGCAATGGTGGTAAGGACACGACATGTACACTAGCAATGGTGGTAAGGACACTACATGTACTGGAGAAGGGTAGCTAGGACACTACATGTACACTAGCAATGGTGGTAAGGACACTACATATACACTAGCAATGGTGGTAAGGACACTACATGTACACTAGCAATGGTGGTAAGGACACTACATGTACACTAGCAATGGTGGTAAGGACACTACATGTACACTAGCAGTGGTGGTAAGGACACTACATGTACACGAGAATGGTAGCTAGGACACTACATGTACACTAGCAATGGTGGTAAGGACACTACATGTACACTAGCAATGGTGGTAAGGACACTACATGTACACTAGCAATGGTGGTAAGGACACTACATGTACTGGAGAAGGGTAGCTAGGAGCACTACATGTACACTAGCAATGGTGGTAAGGACACTACATGTACACTCGCAGTGGTGGTAAGGACACTATATGTACACTAGCAATGGTGGTAAGGACTCTACATGTACACTAGCAATGGTGGTAAGGACACTACATGTACACTAGCAATGGTGGTAAGGACACTACATGTACACTAGCAATGGTGGTAAGGACACTACATGTACACTAGCAATGGTGGTAAGGACACTACATATACACTAGCAATGGTGCTAAGGACACTACATGTACATTAGCAGTGGTGGTAAGGACACTACATGTACTGGAGAAGGGTAGCTAGGAGCACTACATGTACACTAGTAATGGTGGTAAGGACTCTACATGTACACTAACAATGGTGGTAAGGACACTACATGTACACTAGCAATGGTGGTAAGGACACTACATGTACACTAGCAATGGTGGTAAGGACACTACATGTACACTAGCAATGGTGGGAGGGACACTACATGTACACTAGCAATGGTAGTAAGGACACTACATGTACTGGAGAAGGGTAGCTAGGAGCACTACATGTACACTAGCAATGGTGGTAAGGACTCTGCATGTACACTCGCAGTGGTGGTAAGGACACTACATGTACACTAGCCATAGTGGTAAGGACACTACATGTACACTTGCAATGGTGGTAAGGACTCTACATGTACACTAGCAATGGTGGTAAGGACACTACATGTACACTAGGAATGGTGGTAAGGACACTACATGTACACTAGCAATGGTGGTAAGGACACTACATGTACACTAGCAGTGGTCAGATCTGTCAGATCGGATATTTTCAGAATGTTTCATTGGTTCAAAGTAACTTGGTTCTCGATGAGTAACAAGGGCGATAAGTGTTCATATTCCGGTGATGAACGCAGGGCTCATAACATGGCAGTTAGTGTATCGTAGATACTGGCGTGCCAGCTTCATCACTGTCCTCTTGTGGAGCTGAGAGAATGGTCTATCCTGACACGTGCTTCCTTCTAGATCCTCCGGTTCCGACATCTGGGTGAGAGGCAGGAGATGCTGCAGTGCACAGAGGACTTCCTGCAGACGCTGGGCGTCCAGACGGAGAAACAGGAACAGCCGGAACAGATCATCATCAGCCACTCCAACAACAAGGACGACAGACAGAAGCTGCTGGACAGGTTCTTTAGGGTCGTGTGTCTACAGGTAATACGTGTACACGGTTATGTAATGCCATGCTTTGTAAATTCAAAACATCTTAAAGCATCATTTGCAGGCTGAAGTATCAGTGAAGAAAGGCTAGGTTAGGTTCGGGTCCCTTTCTTTGATGTTAAAGCCTGAAGGTGTTCCTTTGTTGAACAGAGGTGTAAATATGTGGAACATATGCAAAGTGTTTATGTTGAATATATGTGTTGTCATGTTGAACATCTGCAAGATGTTCGAGTGTTGAATATAGGTGCCTATTAGTCGAACATTTGCGAGGTCCATGTGTTAAATGTTGGCTACATATTGGCCATATGGGATGAACATATGCAAAGTTCTTGTGTGTTGTGTGTAAGTGTTTATATGTTGACGATGTATACGGTGTTGGTGTGATGCATGTAAGTGTTTATATGTTGACGATGTATACGGTGTTGGTGTGTTGAATATCACTGTCGATGTTTGCAGGCTCTGAAAAAGGACCCGACTGCGGAGCAGTGGGATTTTGATGACGATGCTGCCAACGATGTTATAAAACTGAAACTAACAAGAACAGAGTTTGCCGAATCTCTGGGCATGCAAGCCTCGTCCATCTTCATCAGGAACGTCTTCCTTCTCGCCGACACCAACAACGACGGGTACCTATCGTTCAAGGAGTTCCTGGACTTGTTTGCTGTGTTCGCCAGAGGTATCTATACATTATGTTCCGTGTTCGCAAGATCGAGGTATCTCTACATTATGTTGCGTATTCGCCAGAGGTATCTCTACATTATGTTCCGTATTCGCCAGAGGTATCTATACATTTTGTTCCGTGTTCGCCAGAGGTATCTCCACATTATGTTCCGTGTTCGCCAGAGGTATCTGTACATTATGTTCCGTGTTCGCCAGAGGTATCTGTACAGTATGTTCCGTGTTCGCCAGGGGTATTTTTTTACATTATGTTCCGTGTTCGTCAGAGGTATATCTACATTATGTTCCGTGTTCGCCAGAGGTATCGATACATTATGTTACGTGTTCGCCAGAAGTATCATGTTTTGTGTTGATCTGTTGGAGCCAAAGGTAATCAAAGAAATACGTTCGGCGTTTGATAGAGGTAATCATTCCATGTTCCCCATTTTATCCTGATTTGACTGCGATGGTTATTCCTGCCGCCAGAAGTAGGTAAACTCTCGTGATGTAGATTCATTCCAGTTCCAATCATATTACATTAACTATGGCTGTCCTGGTGGAAGCGGTCTGGTATCTAGTAGTTTTCTTACTCTGCACCTGTGCTTTGGAGCTCTCTCCATGTACCTTAAAAGCTTTGACACAATTGACACTTTTAAGTTCAGACTTAAAACCCACCTTTTCTCAGTATATTATTTATAATTTCAGCGGTAAATACTCTAGTGTAAATATTCTGTAGCGCTTTGAGCATGCCTTAGGGTGTGGAATAGGCGCATTATAAATAATTATGCATTTATTATTATTATTATTAATATTTATTATCTATAGAAACGTGTTTTGACAAGTTTGCTATTGTTGTCGTATAATACGTGTTACTGTAGAAGTGTTGGTTTGCAGGCACAGCTGAACAGAAGGCCCAGATGATGTTCAACATCTATGACATTCGCCGGCGTGGCTATCTCACTAGGGAGGATTTCTTTAAAATGATACGGTAAGTATAGCGGCTTACGTGTTTTCCGGTACACATACAACACCTGCCCGTTTTAAAATCCGTTCAGTCATATGCGGACTGTAAACATAACACGTGTACACGTGTCCAGTTGACTGACTGCACGATGATGGAGAAGGAAGAGGAGGACGGTCAAGGCGACCTAGGTGTTTAGTACACTGTAATTACGCACAGTTAAGGAAACATTAAGGGACTTAACGTGGACTGGTCCTCTCGGGGCTGGAGTATGGTATGCGAGTACAAATGTGACCACTATGGAAACCTGATTTCCCCTGTTCTGTATACAGCTCTCTCCTGGACCTGTCCGCTGCCAGCCTGGATAACGCCCATGTGACCAACCTGATGGACGTCATGTTCAGAGATGCTGGCATTGCCGACAAGGACAAAATGGACTTCCAGGACTTCAAGAAAGTATTTGTATCAAAAGATTATGAAGCTACTCTACATGCAGCCTCCCTTGCAGAGGGTACGTACTCTGTGCGAAATAGCCATTGCCCGCTAGCCCGTGGCTAGTAAGAATCGAGTCGGGCCAATAAATCTCCACAGTCACTGGTCCGACTGGCTAGTGAATTTTCGCTGGGTCATTTTGTAAATATATCACTCTCTCCGACTTTAAATTCATGCAAGATTACAGCCTGATAAAAGATGGTATTTTACCTTTTTGTAATCTTTTGCTTAGTTTCTACATTCAGATTTCGGGCTAGTGAAACATTTTGTGGCCTAGTAACTTTCAGACATATCTAGCTCGACTGGCTAGCAAACCTGGAAACTCTTTCGCGCACACTGGGTATGTACAGTAATGTGAATGGCTGGTTTATATGAAAGATGAAGGCAGTGCCGTCCAGGTTGTCTTTGTACAGCTCCACCTGATTCGGTGCACTGGTCGTACGAAATACTTCATAGTCAAAACTAACGTGTGTAACCAAAATACCAACGCCAGTGTCCGACCAGCCGTCCGCTGCTGGAACATGAAGTCAAAGTATAGTCCGTGGCTATAGCTCGACATCAATTATTGTCCGTTGCTATGACATCAGATATTGTCTGTTCCCAGATGGGGCAGTCTCGAAACACACCAAGGAGGAGTCGACATTTAGGAACAGACGCAAAACTTTCATACAAAGCTACAGGTAGGGAAACTCAACACGGCTTGTGTTACAGTACACTCGTCCGTTGGTCAAACGGCCAATATGTAGTTGTTTAAGAACTTCTGAACACTACTGCTAAATCACCGAACCGAGGTATTTTTTATGTGTAGGGAAGTGTTGGACAGGTGTGCAATACTGCGGAGCGTTTTTGCGCGGTGAGGGGATCGAAATTGGATAGGGAGGGCTGAATGGTTCAGAGAAAGTGTAATGGATTAGTGGAGGTTGGAGGGGGAAGTATCATGGATTAAGGTGGGTGGTGGGGAGAGGGACGTGCACTGGGATAGGTGGGATGCTGGGAGAGGGACGTCTAATGTGTACCCACATTGATATTTAACTCACTCTCACACACAGTGATATTTAACTTACTCTCACCCACAGTGATATTTAACTCTCTCACCCACATTAATATTTAACCTCTCTACCCAAAGTGATATTTTTAACCCTCTCACCCACAGTCATATTTAATTAACTCTATGTTACCGACATTGATATTTAACTCACTCTAACCCACACTAACACATAACTGTTCATCCCTCTCTCACCCAAAGCGATGGATCCTCTCAACCCACAGTCATATTTAAACCCACTCTCACACACATTGATATTTAACTCAATCTAACCCACATTAACACTTAACTCTCTCATCCAAAGAGGAGCCATATCCCTGTCACCACAGTCAGTGATGAATCCGACCCAGCATCTGCCCACATGGACCACGACCACACGACGGAACGACCGACCACAGTCAGAACTTATAAACAGCTGACATGGACCACTGACCGGACCACCACAGTGGAGGAGTGGACCCCAGGACCCCATGCCGAGATGCACCCCAGCACCACATTGACATCCACGCCCATCCTGAGCCACACCACGAACTTGTGGATCCACAGAGAGGAGACACCACGAAGAACAATAGTTATAACGGAAGCCCACGCCCAACGACCCAGTGGACGAGCCCCAGCCACAGGACCACACACCCACATGACATCTTTAACCTGAAGGACCCACAGATGGACCCCGACCCACAGATAACCGTGAAGAGCCACACAGCCACCAATGGAGCGGACCAACACACACAATGAGAGATGGACCCACGAGAATCAAAGAACCCGACAGGGCAACACCGGATGTAACCCCACTGAATGGACCCCGACACACAGGACAAGCATGTGGAAAACTACCAGTGGATCTGACCAAGAACAATATAACGAGACCACGAACGACCCAGAACGACTGACCCAGACAATGGAAGGAGAGACACGGAATGAGACACACAAGGAGGAGGAACTGGAGAGGAAGAAATAACAAAACAACAAAGATGTAGGAAGAACACAGGAAAGCACAACACACAAAGGAATGGACGCACACCAACACACACAGAAGCCAGACACGGATCAAACCCCAAGGAAAAGAGTGGACACGAACACGAAACACACACACACAACACGGAATATGGAATGATCCGAACAGCCACACAACGACACAGGAACGAATACACATGGAGGAAATGAAAGACACAAATGAGAGGAATGGATAAACACAATACTGGAGGACCACAGAGATCCGACACAGAACCAGGTGATCCCAAGGAACACACCGAGACAGACATGGACAGACACAACACACACAGGACCAAGGAACACACAGGAACACAGGAAGGACCGGAGGCACACAGACACAACGGAATGGAAGAAAGATGGAATGGCCCAGAGGAACGGAGACAAGGACACAACGGACAGAGAAACGAGACAGGAACAGGAAGGAGGACAGGACACGGAATGGACAGAACATGGAACAAAGAAAATAGTGGATGGAACGAAGGAAACAGAACAGGAAGAAGGAGAGAAAGGAAGAAGGAGGTGGTGGTGAAAGAGGAATGGAGATAGGGTGAATAGAGAGAAAGGACAAGGAAGGAAAATGGAAATGGTGAAAGAGGAATGGAAGGGTGGTGGTGAGAGAATAAGGAAAATGGAGAGGAATGGACAGGAGGAAAGGATCAAGGAATGGAATGGTGGTGAGAATGGAAGAAGGAGGTGGATGTGAGAGAATGGACACGGAATAAGTAGACGGAATGAATGAACAGGAGGAAGGGAATGGAAGGACGTGAGAGTGGATGAAGGTGTGTGGTGGAGGAATGAAAATGGTAGGTGGAGGGAATGGAGGAATGAAAGGACAGAATGAAAGGAGGGAATGAAAGAGAGGAATGAAATAGTGGAATAAAGGGTGGAGGGAAGAATAGGTGGTGGATGGAATGAATGGTGGAAAGAGGGAATGGAAACAGAGGAAGGAAAGAGGAAGAATGGAATGAAGAAGAGTGGTGGAAGAATGGAGGGAAGGAATGGAAAAAGAGTGGATGGAAGGAAATAGTGGTGGAATGGAATGAAAAGGAGAGGAAGGAATGAAAGGAGGGAATGAAGAGTGGAAGGAAGGAAGAGGAAGAATGGAAAGAGGGTAGTGGTGGAGAAGGAAGGAATGAGGAATAATGGAGGCCAGTGTATACTCTTTTTTTTATCTCCCGAATACACAAATCCTATCAGTGACGTCATTTATAAGTACTTTAATCAGAGTGTGTACAAGTCAGTGTATGTTCGTATGTACGTATATATGCACGAACACTCCAATCATTATATGCTTAGTATTCCGTATGAATAATAAAGCTGTTGATAAGGATTATGTCGCTCTAATATGTGTCAGGTTATTGTGGTCACGAACACAATCTTATCAAGACATGTTTAAATGGTTTGGGAGCAGGAAACTCAATATTTGGATTGTCTGAGGAGATATGGAATTAACCTAATGCTTATCCAATAGGTGAGTGCTCCTTTCAGAAATTGTGCAATACGGTTCGTGATCCTGATACAGTTTGTCAGGTAACATATGACTCGATTCATCTACAGCCCAGTAACTAGCCGCTCCCTTACTGCTATGTGTTTCTCTTTAAACTACAAACATGGCATTACCTTGTCCTTTGGTTCTCAGACTTGCCAGCAGGTCATGTCATATTCTCGATAGGAGGTTGAGTTCAACATCTTCATGACATTTAATGTGAGTCGTTACTGGCCAGTTCAAAAGATACATTCACTTCAACATGCCCTGTCCTAATCCCTCCCACCGGTTGGCAATCTCCCACGCGACATCTCCTTCAATCTGAAATGTCTCGTTATTATAATTATCTGTGATTTCTTTTCGGAATTTCCAGTTTGTAGGGTTATGTTTTCGCCATTTTAAGTTGTGTTGACTATTTCCTCCGTATTTTGTTTATTTTTACCATAATTGTCTAATTTTATACGTTATTTAATTTTTTTTTAAAACATCAGAACATCGCAATATTCGAGCTTTTCCTCTTATAACTTCAATTATATTTACGCTGTTTCAAGATCCTTTCAGATACTCTTGTAGGATTTTCTCCTTGCTCGATTATTTAAGAAGTAAAATAGTTAGACAGTAATCGAATGTACGACAATACATCTGAGAGAGAGCAACGAGACAAAACTCGAATTGAAAAATACACAGAAAATATAAATATTTCAGATTAAGAAAACAAGTGTACTACCAAACTGGCATCACTAAACGTTCGTGTAGTTTGTAGTTTGACAGTGCTACCAAACTGTCTCCATTAAACGTTCGTGTAGTTTGTAGTTTGACAGTGCTACCAAACTGTCTCCATTAAACGTTCGTGTAGTTTGTAGTTTGACGGTGCTACCAAACTGTCTCCATTAAACGCTCGTGTAGTTTGTAGTTTGACAGTGCTACCAAACTGTCTCCATTAAACGTTGGTGTAGTTTGTATTTTGACAGTGCTACCAAATAGTCTCCATTAAACGTTCGTGTAGTTTGTAGTTTGACGGTGCTACCAAACTGTCTCCATTAAACGCTCGTGTAGTTTGTAGTTTGACAGTGCTACCAAACTGTCTCCATTAAACGTTGGTGTAGTTTGTAGTTTGACAGTGCTACCAAACTGTCTCCATTAAACGTTCGTGTAGTTTGTAGTTTGACAGTGCTACCAAACTGTCTCCATTAAACGCTCTTGTAGTTTGTAGTTTGACGGTGCAACCAAACTGTCTCCATCAAACGTTGGTGTAGTTTGTAGTTTGACAGTGCTACCAAACTGTCTTAATTAAACGTTGGTGTAGTTTGTAGTGTGACAGTGCTACCAAACTGTCTCCATTAAACGTTCGACGGTGCTACCAAACTGTCTCCAGTTTGTAGTTTGACGACGTGCTACCAAACTGTCTCCATTAAACGTTGGTGTAGTTTGTAGTTTGACAGTGCTACCAAACTGTCGGCATTAAACGTTCGTGTAGTTTGTAGTTTGACGGTGCTACCAAACTGTCGGCATTAAACGTTCGTGTAGTTTGTAGTTTGACAGTGCTACCAAACTGTCTCCATTAAACGTTCGTGTAGTTTGTAGTTTGACAGTGCTACCAAACTGGCATCATTAAACGTTCGTGTAGTTTGTAGTTTGACAGTGCTACCAAACTGGCATCATTAAACGTTCGTGTAGTTTGTAGTTTGACAGTGCTACCAAACTGTCGTCATTAAACGTTGGTGTAGTTTGTAGTTTGACAGTGCTACCAAACTGGCATCATTAAACGTTGTGTAGTTTGTAGTCTGACAGTGCTACCAAACTGTCGTCATTAAACGTTCGCGTAGTTTGTAGTTTGACAGTGCTACCAAACTGTCGTCATTAAACGTTCGTGTAGTTTGTAGTTTGACAGTGCTACCAAACTGGCGTCATTAAACGTTCGCGTAGTTTGTAGTTTGACAGTGCTACCAAACTGTCGTCATTAAACGTTCGTGTAGTTTGTAGTCTGACAGTGCTACCAAACTGTCGTCATTAAACGTTCGTGTAGTTTGTAGTTTGACAGTGCTACCAAACTGTCGTCATTAAACGTTGGTGTAGTTTGTAGTGTGACAGTGCTACCAAACTGTCGTCATTAAACGTTCGTGTAGTTTGTAGTGTGACAGTGCTACCAAACTGTCGTCATTAAACGTTCGTAGTCTGTGACAGTGCTACTCAAACTGTCGTCATTAAACGTTCGTGTTTGTAGTCTGACAGTGCTACCAAACTGGTTGTCCCATTAAACGTTCGTGTAGTTTGTAGTGTGACAGTGCTACCAAACCGTCGTCATTAAACGTTGGGTGTAGTTTTAGAAGTCTGACAGTGCTACCAAACCGTCGTCACAAAACGTTGGTGTAGTTTGTAGTCCGACAGTGCCGCATCAAACTGTCGTCATTAAACGCTCCGTGTAGTTTTACAGTGTGACAGTGCTAGTCTGACAGTGCTACCAAACTGTCGTCATTAAACGTTCGTGTAGTTTGTAGTGTGACAGTGCTACCAAACTGTCGTCATTAAACGTTCGTGTAGTTTGTAGTGTGACAGTGCTACCAAACTGTCGTCATTAAACGTTCGTGTAGTTTGACAGTGTCAGTTCTTGTATTCCCTGTTGCAGACTATGCGGTGGGACGAGAGCATGCGGGACTGAGACGCCTGTCTGGTGCGTGGACGACGGCGATGATCCGTGGGTCGGCAAGCGTCATCATGTTCAACCTCGCCAGCCTCCTCGTGACCATGTCTCGCAATACCATCACGAGACTCCGAGAGACGTTCATTCATCGTTTTGTACCGTTTGACTCGGCAGTTGACTTCCACAAATACATAGCCGCTGTGTTAATGATAGCCTCCAGTAAGACACTTTACCTACACATCATTACAGCACAGCAGATGTTGGTCGTTTACACTCAACCTCACTTGCCCTGGTTAAATAAAGAAATAACGTGCTCCTCATTGTAACCTGGTAACCCTCTGTAAGTCAATGTCGAGACTAAAGTAGTAGTCATTGCTCGTCGCTGTGCAGGGTTGCGCTGTTTAAATCCCAATCTACCCATTTGTGTTAGTGCGTGTGTCAGCACAATACCGTTCTTGTGGATTTTGTCAGAGTCGTCAAAGCTTTAGAAATTCAACTGTTCTGGCTTTCTTCTCCAATCAAACTGACATAATTGACATATTGTTCAAAGCGGTCAGTCAACCACCACATTTATGTATATAATATGATAACATATTTTCCTTTATACGTCAAAGCACACTGCAGTCTTTGGACTTGACAAACATGGCGGAACTGAGACGACCCAGTGTGTACAATGGAATGTGTGATCAAAATCCAATAAAAGGCTTTCCTTTATTCTGTAGTTTCACTCCCCAACTCAGATGTCAATGCACGTCTGGCAATGGTATAATGCTTTACATGTTTATCTATTGCAGTCGTGCATATCGTGGGTCACTGCGTCAACCTGTACTGCATGAGCACTCAGCCAGCGCAGGACCTCAGCTGTCTGTTCAGAGAGTTCTTTAGAGCGTGTGTATTACCTATGTAATTCTCTTGTGCCCATATATTCCTCTTGTACCTAGGTACTCCTCTTGTACCCATGTACTCCTCTTGTACCCATGTACTCCTCTTGTACCCATGTACTCCTCTTGTACCTATGTACTCCTCTTGTACCTATGAACTCCTTTTGTACCTATGTACTCCCTTGTACCCATGTACTCCCCTTGTACCTATGTACTCCTCTTGTACCTATGTAATTCCTCTTTGTACCTATGTAATTCCATTGTACCTATGTACCCCTCTTGTACCCATGTACCTTACCCATGTACTCCCTCTTTGTACCATATGTACTCCTCTTGTACCTATGTACCCTCCTTGTACCTATGTACCCCCTTTGTACCCATGTACCCTCCTTTGTAGCCAGGTAATTCCCTTTGTACCCATGTACTCTCCTTTGTACCTATGTACCCTCTTGCACCTATGTACCCCTCTTGTACATATGTTCTCCCTTGTACCCATGTACCCCCTTGTACCCATGTACCTTACCCATGTACCCTTTGTACCTATGTAATTCCTCTTGTACCTATGTACTTCCTCTTTGTACCTATGTACCCCCTTGTACCCATGTACTCCTCTTGTAGCCAGGTACTCCCATTGTACCCATGTACTCTCCTTGTACCTATGTACTCCTCTTGTACCTATGTACTCCTCTTGTACATATGTTCTCCCTTGTACCTATGTACTCCCCTTGTACCCATGTACTCTTACCCATGTACTCCCCTTGTACCCATGTACTCCCCTTGTACCTATATACTCCCCTTGTACCTATGTACTCCTCTTGTACATATGTTCTCCCTTGTACCCATGTACTTCCCCTTGTACCCCATGTACCCCTCTTGTACATATGTACCCTCCTTTGTACCCATGTACCCCTTGTACCCATGTAATTCCCCTTGTACCCATGTACTCTTACCCATGTACTCACCCTTTGTACCCATGTACCCCCTTGTACCCTATGTACTCCTCTTGTACCTATGTAATCCTCCTTGTACATATGTAATCCCTTGTATCTATGTAATTCCCTTGTACCCATGTACTCCCTTTGTACCCATGTACTCCCTCCTTTGTAGCCAGGTAATTCCCTTTGTACCCATGTACCCCTTTGTACCTATGTACCCTCTCTTGTACCCATGTACTCTCTCTTGTACCCATGTACTCCTCTTTGTAGCCAGGTAATTCCCTTTGTACCCCATGTACTCTTACCCATCTACTCCCCTTGTGCCCATGTACCCCCTTGTACCTATGTACTCCCTTTGTACCCATGTACTCTCTTTGTACCTATGTACCCCTTTGTACATATGTCCCCCCCCTGTACCCATGCACCCCTTGTACCCATGTACCTCCTTACCCATGTACTCCCCTTGTACCTATGTACTCCCTCTTGTACCCATGTACTCCCTTTGTAATTCCCCTTGTACCCATGTAATTCCCCCTTGTACCCATGTATTCTTACCCATGTAATTCCTCCTCTTGTACCCATGTACCCCCTTTGTACCCATGTACCCCCTTTGTACCCTATGTACCCCTTTGTACCTCCATGTACTCCCCTTGTACCCATGTATTCTTACCCATGTACCCCCCTTGTACCCATGTACTCCCCTTGTACCTATGTACTCCCCTTGTACCTATGTACTCCTCTTGTACCTATGTACTCCTCTTGTACCTATAGACTCCTCTCTTGTACATATGTACCCCTTGTCCCTATGTACCCCTTTGTACCTATGTACCTTACCCAGGTACTTCCCTTGTACCCATGTACCCTCTCCTTGTACATATGTACTTCCCTTGTACCCATGTACCCCTTGTACCCATGTACTCTTACCCATGTACTCCCCTTGTACCCATGTACTCCCCTTGTACCTATGTACTCCTCTTGTACCTATGTACTCCTCTTGTACATATATACCCCTTGTACCTATGTACCCCCTTGTACCCATGTACCTTTGCACCCATGTACCCCCCTTGTACCCCATGTACCTCTTTGTACCTATGTACTCCCCTTGTACCTATGTACTCTTACCCATGTACTCCCCTTGTACCTATGTACTCCCCTTGTACCTATGTACTCTTACCCATGTACTCCCCTTGTACCCATGTACTCCCCTTGTACCTATGTACTCCCCTTGTACCTATGTACTCCTCTTGTACCTATGTACTCCTCTTGTACATATGTACTCCCTTGTACCTATGTACTCCCCTTGTACCTATGTCCTCCTCTTGTACCCATGTACTCCTCTTGTACCCATGTACTCCTCTTGTAGCCAGGTACTCCCCTTGTACCTATGTACTCCCCTTGTACATATGTACTCTTACCCATGTACTCCCCTTGTACCTATGTACTCTCCTTGTACCTATGTACTCCCCTTGTACCTATGTACTCTTACCCATGTACTCCTCTTGTACCTATGTACTCCTCTTGTACCCATGTACTCCTCTTATACCTATGTATTCCTCTCGTACCTAGTACTTATGGACCCCTCTTGTACGTAGGTAGCTGTGGAAACTATATGTCGGGACCACTGAAAATGAAAAATAGCTGTTGAAACTGTGTGGGAACCACTGAAAATCAGAAATACCTTTGGAAGCGGAATGTACAGGGACCATTGAAAATAAAAAAAACATAGCTGTTGAAAGTATGTGTAGTTACATCTAAAAATCAGAAATAACTGTTGAAACTATGTTAAGGAACCACTGAAAATAAGAAATAGTTAGGGAAATTATATGTAGGGACCACTGAAATTCAGAAATGACGCAGGTAGTTATGTATGAATTTCACGTTTTTGTTTATGTATTTACTTTAGTTTACTGAGACAGTTGACGACACAAAATCATGTTAAATGCCCATCCATACTACATTATGTTCAATACCCATACATACTACATTCTGTTCATTACCCATCCATACTACATTATGTTCAATACCCATCCATACTACATTATGATCAATACCCATCCATACTACATTATGTTCAATACCCATGCATACCACATTATGTCCGATACCCAAGCATATGACGTTATGTTCCATACCCATGAATACTACATTTTGTTCGATACCAATACATATTACATTATGTTCAATACCCATACACACTACATTATGTTGGATACCCATACATACTACATTATCTTCAATACCCATACATACTACATTATCTTCTATACCCATACATACCACATTATGTTCGATACCCAAACATATTACGTTATGTTCCAATAACCATACATACTACATTATGTTCAATGCCCAAACATACTACATTATGTTCAATACCCATACGTACTACATTCACCAAATTAAGACAAATGCAACTATGCACCGCTCTATGTTAAATAAATATAAATACCCCGTTATATTAGATACCCATACATACCATATCATGTTAAATACCCATATATACAATATAATGTTAAATTCCCATTTATGGTATGTTATATACCAATACACTTTGTATATGCCACACAGTCAACAGAACTTACATCCTCTAACACCATCACAGACAGAAACAGCCAACAGAACTTACATCCTCTACCACCATCACAGACAGAAACAGCCAACAGAACTTACATCCTCTACCACCATCACAGACAGAAACAGTCAACAGAACCTACATCCTCTAACACCATCACAGACAGAAACAGCCAACAGAACTTACATCCTCTACCACCATCACAGACAGAAACAGTCAACAGAACTTACATCCTCTAACACCATCACAGACAGAAACAGCCAACAGAACATACATCCTCTACCACCATCACAGACAGAAACAGTCAACAGAACTTACATCCTCTACCACCATCACAGGCAGAAACAGTCAACAGAACTTACATCCTCTAACACCATCACAGACAGAAACAGTCAACAGAACTTACATCCTCTACCACCATCACAGACAGAAACAGTCAACAGAACCTACATCCTCTAACACCATCACAGACAGAAACAGCCAACAGAACTTACATCCTCGACCACCATCACAGACAGAAACAGTCAACAGAACTTACATCCTCTAACACCATCACAGACAGAAACAGCCAACAGAACTTACATCCTCTACCACCATCACAGACAGAAACAGTCAACAGAACTTACATCCTCTAACACCATCACAGACAGAAACAGTCAACAGAACTTGCATCCTCTAACACCATCACAGGCAGAAACAGCCAACAGAACTTACATCCTCTAACACTATCACAGACAGAAACAGCCAACAGAACTTACATCCTCGACCACCATCACAGACAGAAACAGCCAACAGAACTTACATCCTCTAACACCATCACAGGCAGAAACAGCCAACAGAACTTACATCCTCTAACACTATCACAGACAGAAACAGTCAACAGAACTTAACAGTCAACAGAACAGAACTTTCTGCTATATTTGTCGGCAATGTATGTTTATGAAGGCAATGTCTTGCTTCAGTAATGATTGTCTTATGCTGCAGGAATGATTATCTTATGCTGCAGTAATGATTGTCCTATGCTGCAGTAATGATTGCCCTTGTCCTATGCTGCAGTAATGATTGTCATATGCCGCAGTAATGCTTGTCCTATGCTGCAGTAATGTAATGCTTGTCCTATGCTGCAGTAATGAGCGTCCTATGCTGCAGTAATGAGTGTCCTATGCCGCTGTAATGATTGTCCTATGCTGCAGTAATGATTGTCCTATGCCACACTAATGATTGTCCTATGCTGCAGTAATGGTTGTCCTATGCTTCAGTAATGATTGTCATATGCTGCAGTAACGATTGCCCTTGTCCTATGCTGCAGTAATGATTCTCATATGCTGCAGTAATGATTGTCCTATGCTGCAGTAATGATTGCCCTTGTCCTATGCTGCAGTTATGATTGTCCTATGCTGCAGTCATGATTGTCCTATGCTGCAGTAATGAGTGTCCTATGCTGCAGTAATGAGCGTCCTATGCTGCAGTTATGATTGTCCTATGCTGCAGTCATGATTGTCCTATGCTGCAGTAATGAGTGTCCTATGCTGCAGTAATGAGCGTCCTATGCCGCAGTAATGAGTGTCCTATGCTGCAGTAATGATTGCCCTATGCCACACTAATGATTGTCCTATGCTACAGTAATGATTGTCCTATGCTGCAGTAATGATTGCCCTTGTCCTATGCTGCAGTTATGATTGTCCTATGCTACAGTAATGATTGTCCTATGCTGCAGTAATGATTGTCCTATGCTGCAGTAATGATTGTCCTATGCTGCAGTAATGATTGCCCTTGTCCTATGCTGCAGTAATGATTGTCCTATGCTGCAGTAATGATTGTCCTATGCCGCAGTAATGAGTGTCCTATGCTGCAGTAATGATTGTTCTATGCTGCAGTAATGAGTGTCCTATGCTGCAGTAATGATTGTCCTATGCTACAGTAATGATTGTCCTATGCCACAGTAATGATTGTCCTATGCTGCACTAATGAGTGTCCTATGCTGAAGTAATGAGTGTCCTATGCTGCAGTAATGAGTTTCCTATGCCGCTGTAATGATTGTCCTATGCCGCAGTAATGATTGTCCTATGCTGCAGTAATGATTGCCCTTGTCCTATGCTGCAGTTATGATTGTCCTATGCTACAGTAATGATTGTCCTATGCTGCAGTAATGATTGTCCTATGCCGCAGTAATGAGTTTCCTATGCCGCAGTAATGATTGTCCTATGCTGCAGTAATGAGTGTCCTATGCTGCAGTAATGAGAGTGTCCTATGCTGCAGTAATGAGAGTGTCCTATGCCACAGTAATGATTGTCCTATGCCGCAGTAATGCTTGTCCTATGCTGCAGTAATGATTGTCCTTTTGCTTCAGGTCACATGTCCTATACACATTCCACTTCTGGGCATTCCAGACTATCACAGGTGAGACTTATAACGCGTATCTCACTGCGCGGCCGGCCATTACCTGACATCGTCTTTCATGATCTCAGAATACAATCTAAAACAATGTTTCGATGACGAAGGTATAAGAGAATTGTATAATGATGTTGTTGTTGTAGATGTTACGTGGTTTCATCGAGGTACATACCTTGACACGATTGAGCTGATTGTTTCGCTGTAACACATCATTACGTGAGACAGGATGCAGTGACCTTTGAACAATAGGCCATACTGAGGAACCTTTCTAAATCACTACTCGATCAACTGACCAGTTGGGCCTACAGAATATAGGAGCGTATTGCTGGTAGTTGTGGACATATCTGACTGTGAATATAATTGTTCCGTTTCACACTAACCCCCTTCACTGTTTTGCTCTGATGTTCCCAGGACTTGCCGGAATCCTGGTGACGGTGCTCATGTTCGCCATGTACGTGTTCGCCATGCAGTTCGCTAGGCGCAACGTCTTCAACGCCTTCTGGTTCACCCACAGCCTCTACATCTTTGTCTACATTTTGACGTTCCTCCATGGCATCGGGAGACTGGTGCAAGATCCATTGTTTCCATGGTACCTGATAGGACCCCTGCTGGTCTACCTAGTTGACAGGATTCTCACGTACAGCAGACACAAGGTCGAGATTGTTGTCAAGAGAGCTGAGCTGCTTCCATCAGGTAACGTCAGAAGTATATATTTGCATACACCACAGTCAGGTAACGTCAGACGTATATATTTCTATACCCTACAGTCATTTAACGTCGGACATATATGTTTGTATACACCGCAGTCATTTAACGTCGGACATATATGTTTCTATACCCCACAGTCATTTAACGTCGGACATATATGTTTGTATACACCGCAGTCATTTAACGTCGGACATATATGTTTCTATACCCCACAGTCAGGTAACGTCAGACGTATATATTTCTATACCCCACAGTCATTTAACGTCGGACATATATGTTTGTATACACTGCAGTCATTTAACGTCAGACGTAATATATTTCTGTACCCCACAGTCATTTAACGTCGGACATATATGTTTGTATACACTGCAGTCATTTAACGTCTGACATATGTATTTATATACCCCACAGTCATTTAACGTCGGACATATGTTTCTATACCCCACAGCCATTTAACGTCGAACATATATGTTTCTATATCCTCGTAGTCAGATGTATATAGACACATACGGCGGAACGGTTTCCATAAATATGTCGCCTGTTGTGCATGACCTGAAGTAAAAACTCTGTCGTCGGTGATGTCACAGTGATGTAGCTATCGAAGATGAAGATATGTCAGTGATACCATTGTAGGTGATGTGACGGTGATGTAGCTATCGAGGATGAAGATATGTCAGTGATACCATTTTAGGTGATGTCACAGTGATGTAGCTATCGATGATGAAGATATGTCAGTGATACCATTTTAGGTGATGTCACAGTGATGTAGCTATCGAAGATGAAGATATGTCAGTGATACCATTGTAGGTGATGTGACGGTGATGTAGCTATCGAGGATGAAGATATGTCAGTGATACCATTTTAGGTGATGTCACAGTGATGTAGCTATCGATGATGAAGATATGTCAGTGATACCATTGTAGGTGATGTGACGGTGATGTAGCTATCGATGATGAAGATATGTCAGTGATACCATTTTAGGTGATGTCACAGTGATGTAGCTATCGAAGATGAAGATATGTCAGTGATACCATTGTAGGTGATGTGACGGTGATGTAGCTATCGATGATGAAGATATGTCAGTGATACCATTTTAGGTGATGTAACAGTGATGTAGCTATCGGTGATGAAGATATGTCAGTGATACCATTTTAGGTGATGTCACAGTGATGTAGCTATCGGTGATGAAGATATGTCAGTGATACCATTGTAGGTGATGTGACGGTGATGTAGCTATCGAGGATGAAGATATGTCAGTGATACCATTGTAGGTGATGTGACGGTGATGTAGCTATCGATGATGAAGATATGTCAGTGATACCATTTTAGGTGATGTCACAGTGATGTAGCTATCGGTGATGAAGATATGTCAGTGATACCATTGTTTAGTAGCACATTTCAGGTAATGAAATACAAAGTTTCAGTTTGAAAGGGTTTACCATAACGCAACCCACATGCATTGGATTCCATTTTTCAGCCGTGATATTTCTGGAGTTCAAACGTCCCGCAAATTTTGACTACAAGTCTGGGCAGTGGGTCCGTATCGCCTGTCTGAACCTGGGGAAGAGCGAGTACCACCCTTTCACTCTCACGTCAGCTCCTCACGAAGAAAACCTCTCTTTACACATCCGGGCAGTTGGCCCGTGGACTACCAACCTGCGTGAGACCTATGACCCAAGCAATCTGGACATGAACAAGTTACCAAAGGTGGGATACGATATAACGTACCTTTTAGACTCGTCCAAGCATATCATTCAATGCATGGTATATCGGCTTGGTAGACCCAGAGCGACATAGTAGCCAGAGAGCGACATGGTAGACTGTGAGCGGCATGGTAGACAGAGAGCGACATGGTAGACTGTGAGCGGCATGATAGACAGAGAGCGGCATGGTAGACTGTGAGCGACATGGTAGACAGAGAGAGGTTAGGTAGACTGTTAGTGGCATGGTAGACAGAGGGCAGTAAGGTAGACTGTTAGTGGCATGGTAGACAGAGTGCAGTAAGGTAGACTGTTAGTGGCATGGTAGACAGAGAGCAGTAAGGTAGACTGTGAGCGGCATGATAGACAGAGAGCGGCATGGTAGACTGTGAGCGGCATGGTAGAAAGAGAGAGGTTAGGTAAACTGTTAGTGGCATGGTAGACAGAGCGCGGTAAGGTAGACTGTTAGTGGCATGGTAGACAGAGAGCAGTAAGGTAGACTGTTAGTGGCATGGTAGACAGAGAGCAGTAAGGTAGACTGTTAGTGGCATGGTAGACAGAGCGCGGTAAGGTAGACTGTTAGTGGCATGGTAGACAGAGAAGGGTAAGGTAGACTGTTAGTGGCATGGTAGACAGAGTGCAGTAAGGTAGACTGTTAGCGGCCTGGTAGACAGAGCGTGATAAGGTACACTGTTAGTGTCATGGTAGACAGAGCTCGGAAAGGTAGGCTATTAGTGGCATAGTAGACAGAGCGTGGTAAGGTAGGCTGTGAGTGGCATGGTAAACAGAGCGTGGTAAGGTAGACTCTTAGTGGCATGGTAGACAGAGAGTGGCATGATAGGCTGTGAGCGATGTAGACAGAGAGCAGCATGGTAGAAAGAGCGGCATGGTAGGCTGTGAAAGGTGGGGTTGACCGAGAAGTATGGTAGACAGAAAACAGCATGGTAGACAGAGCGGCATGATGGACTGTGTGCGGCATGGTAGACAGAGAGCGGCATGATAGGCTGTGAGTGACGTAGACAGAGTGCACCATGGGAGACAGAGCGGCATAGTAGACAGTGATTGGCATTGTAGACAGAGCGGCTTGGTAGACTGTGAGCGACGTAGACAGTGAGCGTAGACAGAGAGTGGCATGATAGGCAGCAGAGAGGCAGCAGAGCGGCATGATAGACTGTGTGCGGCATGGTAGACAGAGAGCGGCATGATAGGCTGTGAGCGACGTAGACAGAGTGCAGTATGGGAGACAGAGCGGATTGGTAGACTGTGAGCGGCATTCTAGACAGAGCGGCATGGTAGACTGTGCGCGCTGCATGGTAGATTGTGAGCGGCACAGTAGACAGAGAGTGGCATGATAGGCTGCGAGCATAGACAGAGAGCAGCTTCGTAGACAGAGCGGCATGATAGGATGTGAGCGGCATGGTAGACAGAGAGCGGCATGATAGGCTGTGAGCGACGTAGACAGAGGGCAGCTTGGTAGACAGAGTGGCATGGTAGACTGTTAGCGGCATGGTAGACAGAGAGCAGCATGGTAGACAGAGCAGCATGACAGACTGTGAGCGGTACGGTAGACTGTGAGCAGCATGGTAGACAGAGGGCAGCAGCACAGATAGGCTGTAGACTGGACATGTAGACAGAGGGCGGAACAGCAAAGTAGACAGAGAACAGCATAGTAGACTGAGCGGCATGGTAGACTGTGAACGGCATGGTAGACAGAGCGCAGTGAGGTAGGCTGTTAGTGGCATGGTAGACAGAGCATGGAAAGGCAGGCTGTGAGTGACATGGTAGACAGAGTGCAGCTTGGTAGACAGAGCGACATGGTAGACAGAGAGCGGCATGGTAGACTGTGAGTGACATGGTAGACAGAGAGTGACATGATAGGCTGTGAACGACGAAGACAGAGAGCAGCATGGTAGACAGAGAGCGGCATGATAGGCTATGAGCGGCGTAGACAGAGAGGAGCATGGCAGACAGAGCAGCCTGGTAGGCTGTGAGTGGCATGGTAGACAGAGTGGCATGATAGTCAGTGAGAGGCGTGGTAGACAGAGAGCATCATGATAGTCTGTGAGCAGCGTAAACAGAGAGCAGCATGGTAGACAGAGCGGCAGGATAGACTGTGAGCAGCATGGTAGACAGAGCGGCATGGTAGACTGTGAGCGGTATGGTAGACAGAGAGCGGCATGATAGGCTGTGAGTGACGTAGACAGAGAGCAGCTTGGTACACAGAGCGGCATGGTAGACTGTGATGGCATGGAGAGAGCAGAGCGGCATGGTAGACTATTAGTGGCATGGTAGGCAGAGCGTGGTATGGTAGACAGAGATATGGTGACAGAGCTGAGCAAGACAGAGAGAGCATCATGGTCTGTGAGACAGAGTAGACAGCTTGATAGGCTGTGAGCGACGCGCAGCATGGTAGACTGTGAGCGGCATGGTAGACAGAGCGGCATAAGATAGGCTGTGAGTGGCATGGTAGACAGAGCGTGGTATGGGTAGACTGTGAGTGACATGGTGACAGAGAGCGGCATGGTAGACAGAGCGACATGGTAGACAGAGAGCAGCATCATAGTTGTGAGACAGACAGAGCGGCATGATAGGCTGTGAGCGACGTAGACAGAGTGCAGCATGGTAGAGAGAAGCGGCATGATAGACTGTGGTGGCATAGCAGACAGAGAGCGGCATGAGATAGAGCTGTGAGCGACATAGACACATGGTAGACAGAGCGGCATGGTAGACTGTGAACGACATGGTAGACAGAGAGCGGCATGATAGGCTGTGAGCAACGTAGACAGAGTGCAGCTTGTAAGACAGAGCAGCATGGTAGACTGTGAGCGACATGGTAGACAGAGCAGCATGGTAGACTGTGAGGGACATGGTAGACAGAGCAGCATGGTAGACTGTGAGCGGCATGATAGGCTGTGAGCTGCATTGTAGGCATGATATCCCAGATAGCATTCAGACGTTGGCCCGAAGTTATCAATGGTTTTGCCAACGTTGGGCCAATGACCGAATGCTATCTGGGGGGCTGTGATGGGCATGGTAGGCGGTGATGGACATGGTTGGCTGTGATGGACATGGTAGGCTGTGATGGACATGGTAAGCTGTGATGGACATGGTAGGCTGTGAGGGGCATGGTAGGCTGTGATGGCCATGGTAGACTGTGATGGGCATGGTAGACTGTTAGCGGCATGGCAGACAGAGAGCAGCATGATAGGCTGTGATCGACGTAGACAGAGAGAAGCATGGTAGACAGAGCAGCATGGAAGACTGTGAACGGCATGGTAGACAGAGAGTGGCATGATAGGCTGTGAGCCGCGTAGACAGAGAGCAGCATGGTAGACAGAGGGGCATGATAGACTGTGAGCGGCATGGTTGACAGAGCGGCATGGTAGACAGAGAGCGGTAAGGTAGACTGTTAGTGGCATGGTAGACAGAGCATGGTAAGGTAGACTGTTAGTGGCATGGTAGACTGAGATGGACATGGTTGGCTGTGATGGACATGGGAGGCTGTGACGGGCATGGTAGGCTGTGATGGGCATGGTAGGCTGTTTTGGACATGGGAGGCTGTGATGGGCATGGTAGGTTGTGACAGGTATGGTAGGCTGTGACGGGCATGATAGACTGTGATGGGCATGATAGACTGTGATGGGCATGATAGACTGTGATGGGCATGGTAGTCTGTGTTGGACATGATAGGCTGTGATGGTCCAGGACATGGTAGGCTGTGACAGGCATGGTAGGCTGTGACGGGCGACATGGTACACAGAGAGCAGCATGGTAGACAGAGCCGCATAATAGACTGTGAGCGGCATGGTAGACAGAGAGCGGCATGATAGGCTGTGAGCGGCGTAGTCAGAGAGCAGCATGGTAGACAGAGCGGCATGATGGACTGTGAGCGGCGTGGTAGACAGAGCGGCATGGTAGACTATGAGTCACATGATAGACAGAGAACGGCATGATAGCTTTGAGCGAAGTAGACAGAGAGCAGCTTGGTAGACAGAGCGGCATGGTAGACTATGAGTGACATGATAGACAGAGAACGGCATGATAGCTGTGAGCAACGTAGACAGAGAGCAGCTTGGTAGACAGAGCGGCATGGTAGACAGAGAGCGGCATGATAGGCTGTGAGCGACGTAGACAGAATGCAGTATGGGAGACAGAGCAGCATGGTAGACTGTGAGCGGCATGGTAGACAGAGTGGCATGGTAGGCAGTGATGGGTATGGTAGGCCGTGATGGACATGGTAGGCTTTGATGGACATGGTAGTCTGTGTTGGACATGATAGGCTGTGATGGTCCAGGACATGGTAAACAGAGAACTGTATGATTTGCTGTGAGCAGCATGGTAGACAGAGAGCGGCATGGTAGGTTGTGAACGAATTAGACAGAGTGCAGCATGGGAGACAGAGCGGCATGGTAGGCTGTGATCGGCATGGTATCCCTTCACTGGCTGTGAAAATGGAGTGTGATAGCTTTTATGCGGGATTTCTGTGTTTGTTCTGAATTTCAGAGCTTTTTGCGGAATTATCCCGTTACGTTCTGTACATCAAGTGAATGTATGGGCGTCTTTGACGATCTTCGACCGGCATAAGTGTTTTCAGCTGTATGATAGTCTATGAGTGGACTGGTAACCTTGAATAGCTGAACCAGTTTGAGCGATGTGCCAGGCTTTTAATATTGTGCCATGACTGTCTTTGAATGACCCATGAAGCATTAAATTTTGTGGTTGATTCAAAGACAAAATGTCATCAGATTATAAAGGGGTTATTTTTCATCAAAGCCAGTGCATTGTATGATATAGTCTTATTATGTTGTCGTATTATATTTTGTAGTCTACATGACACGTGTTTTCTAGTTGTACCTTGACGGGCCATTCGGTGAGGGACACCAGGACTGGTACACATTCGACATCGCAGTGCTTGTGGGGGCGGAATTGGCGTTACACCGTTTGCCTCTATACTCAAAGATATCGCGTTCAAGTCACAGACGGGAGCTCGCTTTACATGCAAAAAGGTAAGCATTCATTACAAGCAGAAATGTTTTTGTACTGATAGTTATAACAAACGGGAGATAACTGTATGGAAACATATAGGGCGTGGTGGGCGAGCTGGCTAAGGCGCCAGACTAGTGATCCAGCGAGGTTGAGCTGTTAGGATCGAGCCCACCTGTGACCGGGTGTAAATGCCTTGGAGTCAACTTTGTGTGCAGACTCTTTCAGTGTTGTCACAACCCCAGTGTACAGTACACAACCCTGTGCACTTAAAAGAACCCACGGATCCGTTGGCATATGAACAGATGGTGGCCACATGAATACGTGCATACACCTAGTTGCAGTTAGCAACGTGCAGTGAACTTGGACAAAGTACTGTGACTATGTGTCCCAGTCCACCCAGCTATGAATGAGCATGCACTATTTGCCTGGATATGTGCGCTATATAAATACCCTCTAATAATATGCGACGCCATTGTGCGTATGTCAACACGTCACTACACCTACTTGTGTAGCTAACGTGTGGCGTGATCCAATAGGTGACAACTTCACGTTATCAGAATGTACGTCACAACATCTACTTGTGTAGCATCTACTTGTGTAGCTAACGTGTAGCGTGATCCAATAGGTGACAACTTCACGTTATCAGAATGACCGTCACAACATCTACTTGTGTAGCATCTACTTGTGTAGCATCTACTTGTGTAGCTAACGTGTGGTGTGATCCAATAGGTGACAACTTCACGTTATCAGAATGTACGTCACAACATCTACTTGTGTAGCATCTACTTGTGTAGCTAACGTGTAGCGTGATCCAATAGGTGACAACTTCACGTTATCAGAATGTACGTCACAACATCTACTTGTGTAGCATCTACTTGTATAGCTAACGTGTGGCGTGATCCAATAGGTGACAACTTCACGTTATCAGAATGACCGTCACAACATCTACTTGTGTAGCATCTACTTGTGTAGCATCTACTTGTGTAGCTAACGTGTGGCGTGATCCAATAGGTGACAACTTCACGTTATCAGAATGACCGTCACAACATCTACTTGTGTAGCATCTACTTGTGTAGTAACGTGTAGCGTGATCCAATAGGTGACAACTTCACGTTATCAGAATGTACGTCACAACATCTAACTTGTGTAGCATCTACTATGTGTATCTTATCAGAATGACCGTCACAACATCTACTTGTGTAGCATCTACTTGTGTAGCTAACGTAGCGGCGTGATCCACATCTACTTGTGTAGCTAACGTGTGGCGTGATCCAATAGGTGACAACTTCACGTTATCAGAATGACCGTCACAACATCTACTTGTGTAGCATCTACTTGTGTAGCTAACGTGTAGCGTGATCCAATAGGTGACAACTTCACGTTATCAGAATGTACGTCACAACATCTACTTGTGTAGCATCTACTTGTCTCCAATAAGTGACAGCTAACGTGTGGCGTGATCCAATATCTACTTGTGACAACTTCACGTTATCAGAATGACCGTCACAACATCTACTTGTGTAGCATCTACTTGTGTAGCTAACGTGTAACGCGTGATCCAATAGGTGACAACTTCACGTTATCAGAATGACCGTCACAACATCTACTTGTGTAGCATCTACTTGTGTAGCTAACGTGTGGCGTGATCCAATAGGTGACAACTTCACGTTATCAGAATGACCGTCACAACATCTACTTGTGTAGCATCTACTTGTGTAGCTAACGTGTGGCGTGATCCAATAGGTGACAACTTCACGTTATCAGAATGACCGTCACAACATCTACTTGTGTAGCATCTACTTGTGTTGCTAACGTGTGGCGTGATCCAATAGGTGACAACTTCACGTTATCAGAATGACCGTCACAACATCTACTTGTGTAGCATCTACTTGTGTAGCATCTACTTGTGTAGCTAACGTGTGGCGTGATCCAATAGGTGACAACTTCACGTTATCAGAATGACCGTCACAACATCTACTTGTGTAGCATCTACTTGTATAGCTAACGTGTGGCGTGATCCAATAGGTGACAACTTCACGTTATCAGAATGTCCGTCACAACATCTACTTGTGTAGCATCTACTTGTGTAGCTAACGTGTAGCGTGATCCAATAGGTGACAACTTCACGTTATCAGAATGTCCGTCACAACATCTACTTGTGTAGCATCTACTTGTGTAGCTAACGTGTGGCGTGATCCAATAGGTGACAACTTCACGTTATCAGAATGTCCGTCACAACATCTACTTGTGTAGCATCTACTTGTGTAGCTAACGTGTGTGTGTGGCGTGATCCAATAGGTGACAACTTCACGTTATCAGAATGACCGTCACAACATCTACTTGTGTAGCATCTACTTGTGTAGCTAACGTGTGGCGTGATCCAATAGGTGACAACTTCACGTTATCAGAATGACCGTCACAACATCTACTTGTGTAGCATCTACTTGTGTAGCTAACGTGTTGAATGATCCAATAGGTGACAACTTCACGTTATCAGAATGACCGTCACAACATCTGCTTGTGTAGCATCTACTTGTGTGGCTAACGTCTAGCGTGATCCAATAGGTGACAACTTCACGTTATCAGAATGTCCGTCACAACTTCTACTCGTCATCATATTGTCCTGGGCACACACATCTACTCGTCATCGTATTGTCCTGGGCACACACATTGAATCGTCATCGTATTGTCCTGGGGACACACATTGAATCGTTATCGTATTGTCCACACGGACTGCGTGCATTGACTGTCCACCTGCTGCATAGCAAACACTCACTTTACCAGACTCCTGTCGAGTAACCTCAGATCATGCTGTTGCAGACATATTTCAGTGCCTTGAATTCAACCGTCTGTCAAGTAAACTTGCAACAGCAATTACTAGTACTACGGAAGTAGATGACTGTTTATATCTTGTACACAGGTGTACTTCGTGTGGGTGACCCGCACCCAGAAGCACTATGAGTGGCTGGTCGACATCATAAGGGATGTAGAGGACAAGGACAAGCACAACATCGTCAGCGTCCACATCTTCGTCACTCAGTTCCAACAGAAGTTCGACCTGCGGACCACCATGTTGGTATGGCACATACTGCGATTACTACAGTAGATAATATCGTTGTGAAGTAAACTTGTAAAGCATGAAGCCACTTATCATGGTCAAATATGTCCCCATGTAAAGGGGGAAGGTAGTAGTATAGCAGACATAAAACTGTTTCGCGTCCGGTAATTCAGCGCAGCTGCAATAGCTTACTTCCGTAACGAAGGTAAATATCGTCTGCTACCACATTTACGCTTGAAATCGGGACATTTCTACAAGGGACTGGCTTTTAATCACTAAAGGTAAGTAAATAACAGTAATTAACAGATAAATTGACAGTTTTATGAAATTCGTTTTCTTCAGACTTTTGAACCTTTTTCTTCATTATTCATGATTGGATTTAATATGAAACACCCTTCCTTACATTGATGAAGTTATTTTTAACAATAATCTGGCCCTAATGCGCTCCATACTTCGGATCTCCAGCATGATGCTATGCGCATCAGTTGCTGCGCAGAATTACCAGACAGCAAGCGATGTCGTCAGAACATCAGTAAGGTCAACCGTATGGCATAATGCAACGTTAGAATCTTATAGTCGTCAATAAAACCTATATTTCTAGGTAAATATGATGCATACCAGCATGTTTAGTCACGTAAACCACCAAAAATAAGAGACGTTAGTTGCCTTGTTGCAATTGATGTGCTTAGGTGCGCGGAGTTACCGGACGGCATTGTAAGTATAACCACCCCTCGTCAGAGTCAAAATGCGTTCCATGAAACCCCAGCTGCTCGGGATGAGAGGATCTGTGATCTGGTTTTTGGGTCGGTATTCACAATATCAAGCTCTAGACTGTCTGGTCCAGACTCTATTATTTACACACACCAAGCCACTGTCAAGCAACAAACAAGCCGGACATCACCATATCTGTTTCAGTACATCTGCGAGCGACACTTCCAGAAGGTGGAGAACCGCAGCCTGCTCACCGGTCTCAGGGCGATCACGCACTTCGGCAGACCTGAGTTTGATGAGTTCCTCAACTCTCTTCACTATGAACACCCACAGGTCTGTACAAGTAGACATATCACCTCACACCTATTCCAGCCGTAGTTCATGATGTATGTCCAGAAGTACGGGTTGTCGTGTAACTCCACGTTATTTGTGTTGTGACAGGTGCGCCGTGTGGGTGTATTCAGCTGCGGTCCAGGCCCTATGACCAACTCAGTCCAGGCAGCTTGTAGTTACCTCAATACTCTAGAGGGGCCCAGCTACACACACCACTTCGAGAACTTCTAGACCGTCCCTGGATGATACCCAGCTTTCCGACAGAGCTTCTACACCATCGACTGACCTCTGTATCACTAACAGGATTGAGTGTACATGTACACCACTGACTGACCTCTGTATCACTAACAGGATTGAGTGTACATGTACACCACTGACTGACCTCTGTATCACTAACAGGATTCAGTGTACATGTACACCACTGACCGACCTCTGTATCACTAACAGGATTCAGTGTACATGTACTGACTGACCTCTGTATCACTAACAGGATTCAGTGTACATGTACACCACTGACCGACCTCTGTATCACTAACAGGATTCAGTGTACATGTACTGACTGACCTCTGTATCACTAACAGGATTGAGTGTACATGTACACCACTGACCGACCTCTGTATCACTAACAGGATTCAGTGTACATGTACTGACTGACCTCTGTATCACTAACAGGATTGAGTGTACATGTACTGACTGACCTCTGTATCAATAACAGGATTCAGTGTACATGTACACCACTGACCGACCTCTGTATCACTAACAGGATTGAGTGTACATGTACTGACTGACCTCTGTATCACTAACAGGATTGAGTGTACATGTCCACCACTGACTGACCTCTGTATCACTAACAGGATTCAGTGTACATGTACACCACTGACCGACCTCTGTATCACTAACAGGATTCAGTGTACATGTCCACCACTGACTGACCTCTGTATCACTAACAGGTTTCAGTGTACATGTACACCACTGACCGACCTCTGTATCACTAACAGGATTGAGTGTACATGTACACCACTGACCTCTGTATCAATAACAGGATTCAGTGTACATGTCCACCACTGACTGACCTCTGTATCAATAACAGGATTGAGTGTACATGTACTGACTGACCTCTGTATCAATAACAGGATTCAGTGTACATGTCCACCACTGACTGACCTCTGTATCAATAACAGGATTGAGTGTACATGTACTGACTGACCTCTGTATCACTAACAGGATTCAGTGTACATGTACTGACTGACCTCTGTATCACTAACAGGATTGAGTGTACATGTCCACCACTGACTGACCTCTGTATCACTAACAGGATTGAGTGTACATGTCCACCACTGACTGACCTCTGTATCACTAACAGGATTCAGTGTACATGTCCACCACTGACTGACCTCTGTATCACTAACAGGATTGAGTGTACATGTACACCACTGACTGACCTCTGTATCACTAACAGGATTCAGTGTACATGTCCACCACTGACTGACCTCTGTATCACTAACAGGATTGAGTGTCAATGTACACCACTGACTGACCTCTGTATCACTAACAGGATTGAGTGTACATGTCCACCACTGACTGACCTCTGTATCACTAACAGGATTGAGTGTACATGTACACCACTGACCGACCTCTGTATCACTAACAGGATTGAGTGTACATGTACACTACTGACTGACCTCTGTATCACTAACAGGATTGAGTGTACATGTACACCACTGACCGACCTCTGTATCACTAACAGGATTGAGTGTACATGTACACCACTGACCGACCTCTGTATCACTAACAGGATTGAGTGTCAATGTACACCACTGACTGACCTCTGTATCACTAACAGGATTGAGTGTACATGTCCACCACTGACTGTCCTCTGTATCACTGACAGGATTCAGTGTACATGTACACCACTGACCTCTATGCCAATGTAAAGGAAATATGTTGAGCCCATAACTTTAACCTGTAAGCTGATTTGGTTATTTTATTATATTTGACATCACAAATCTCTTCTCGCCACATTGTAACAGGAAGATGTCAGGCACTGTAATTATCCGCTATAAATTACTTCAAGTCCTTTCGTCGTGACATGGACGTTGGGCTGAGTTGTGCCCCGATCACCGGAAGAGTGCATGTGTCTTATGGCACATCTGGTCTTCCTTCAGCTGGAATACCCTTGCACGAAATCCTCTCACTGTGTATCACTGAAAAGTGGCGACGGTTTCCAGACAAGCGACGTGGCCACTCTGAGGCACAATGTCGTTTTTAACAAACCCTGAACGCTTTTTTGACATATGCAGCTTATGTGTTGATGTCATGTGTAATAACAGAATATATATTGTCTCAGAATGTGTGCTCTATTTCATAATGTATCTTCGTTCCTCCAAGACACTTTCAAAGCATATGAAAACCTCCCTATTATAAATGTTCCCTAAACCCTGATGAAACACGTCTCTGAAATACACAATGCCATTGTAGAAGTGGTCAAATGTAACGTTTGTTATATTTGAGATTACACTTTCTTAGTAAAGTACAGATTCTAGTACTTTTGGGGTTGAGCCCCATGCGGGATTCGAACCCACACCCTCAGAGTCAGGCACCTAATCGCCAGCACACAAAAGTCAGACGCCTAGACCACTCAGGCACCGCGGCTTCCACCGCTGTCACATACAATATCTTGAACATCACAAATAGGTCAATGCGTCAATATCTTGTACATCACAAATAGGTCAATATGTAAATATCTTGTACATCACAAATATGTCAATATCTCTACATCACAAATAGGTCAGTGTTTCACTATATGTTACAGGGATACCATATACTTATAGATACATATAATATGTAAATTCACTTTCACATGTATACACCAAGGCAAATGTATCTCATCTTCAAATATAACGTATAACGTACTTCCAAAGCAAACGCCTCTAAATTCCTCTTTGAATATTTGAAGATTAACAATCTACTGTTTTCATTGGGCTGTAGATGGCAGCAGTATGCCTTGTGAAAAATATGATGTATGATCTACCGAACAAACTTAATATTATTAGCAAAAGAATGACGTTACTCATACTATTTTCATGATAAAACCAGTTTGAAATCACACACAGGAGGCCTGGTTTTCTGTAGAGGCTGTATCTATATGTTCACATATAATGTCATGATGATTATCATTAACCCGGATAACAATAAATATTGTTTTATCACTTATACCTTTGACTGTGATATGTAAAATCCAGATATATTACGGGGTGTTAGGGAGGAAGGCAGACTCAAAGTGATGCAGGCCTCCCACGTTTGCCACGAGTTTTGGGCGCCGACAAACTAAATAACAAATCGGGACGGACCGGGATTCAAACCCAGTCCTGCCCAAGGATATAGCGAATTGCCTACGTTACTCAACACGGCCACCCGAACATGCCATAATATGAAGTGATCCTGTGAAAGCGACGGAACGTACGTATGCAAATGTATCATCCAAAACTGTGTTGCACAGGAGATATTGCGTGTGTCAGATATAGAGGATACTAAACGACCTTCCGTGTGATACCATTTTTATTAAACGAGTTAACGATTTGGTATCAAACGAGCGAAAGCGAGTTTGATGCTAAATCTTTCACGAGTTTAATAAAAATGGTATTTCACGGAAGCGAGTTTAGTATTTTGTTCATTACTCTCCAACATAAACTGATAAAAGCTGCCTACGAAGTGTATTGACTTTCAGCTTTCCACGAGTCAAGCAAGGTCTAATGCCATTGTGACAGAGGTATTAGCATTGTGACGCCATAACTGTAAATCATTATGACGTCATACGTCTAGCGGTATTACACTAGTGTAATATCGCCGTAAAAATATTACACTGCAGTATCTTCCACGGGCGAGTAATAACAAACGATATCTCCTAGGAGATATCGTTTTGACAATAGGTTTTGTACAATACCCTGACAATGCTATGATGTCATGAACTTGATGACATCACAATGCTATGACATCGCTGCACTGAAAGTCTAATGGCAGAACCGTGTTCAGAGATTTCATGTAAAACTGAGGAAGCGTGATTTTTTATGATAAATAGAATATCACCCTCGTCTCTTTGATATCAGATATATCAACACTCCTTGAAAAAAAGTAAAAATATCCTCGGCAAGCTTCGGAACTTGTAACTTTATCAATTCTTGGTGATATATTTGATATCAAAAGACACTCGGGTGAGATTCTCTATGCATCTATAGACTTGTTCATCAAAGAGGGAGTGCCGTATAGGCTTGTGTTATCGTTGCACACATGCGGTGGTAATCGTCAACAGAGTGCGACAACCATTTTATTGATTCTCATTTAGAACCCAAAGAACTTAAAGGATATCTATACAAATGTATGAATACAAGTATCTATATTTTATGTCAGCATATGTAGTATCACGTTTGACTGTATCAGGAAGTCGCCTGTGTCTACTCAAAAGGACCCTTGAAGGTCCGGGTCTATTAGAATAGCCCTTCAGCAACCCATGCTTGCTATAAAAGGCGACTATGCTTGTCGTAAAAGGCGACTAACAGGATCGGGTGGTCAGGCTCGCTGACTTGGTTGACACATGTCATCGGTTCCCCATTGCGCATATCGATGCTCATGCTGTTGATCACTGGATTGTCTGGTCCAGACTCGATTATTTACAGACCGCCGCCATATAGCTGGAATATTGCTGAGTGCGGCGTAAAACTCAACTCACTCACTCACTCTACTCAAAAGATGGAAAGGATGGTTGAATCATGTATGTACCGCATTTACTTAATATACATGTGTACAGTTGAACACTAGTTTCCCACGTCCCTGTATGTGTTGTATGAGTAGCCGAGTGACGTGACTGGTCACGGGTGAAGGAATCCACTTCCTTGTAGGTCGGAGAACAATGTCGCGTCACACTACATTGTCTGTAGGTCATGCATAGCGGATGTATGACGCCCCCAGGGCAGTCGAACATGGACTGTAAACAACATGACTTTGCTTATTCTTTCGCACATTGATATGTTTCCATTTTGATCTCTATGAGTCAGCACATGTGTGATAGGGGAGGGAGCATACACCTGCCGTGCGGGAACCCCTGGTGTCGTCACATGTGTGATAGGGGAGGGAACATACACTTGCCGTGCGGGGACCCCTGGTGTCGTCACGGGTGTGATAGGGGAGGGAGCATACACTTGCCGTGCGGGAACCCCTGGTGTCGTGACAGGTGTGATAGGGGAGGGAACAGACACTTGCCGTGCGGGAACCCCTGGTGTCGTGACAGGTGTGATAGGGGAGGGAACACACACCTGCCGTGCGGGGACCCCTGGTGTCGTCACAGGTGTGATAGGGGAGGGAACACACACCTGCCGTGCGGGGACCCCTAAAGTCGTCACAGATGTGATAGGGGAGGGAACATACACCTGCCGTGCGGGGGGCCCTGGTGTCGTCACATGTGTCATAGGGGAGGGAACATAAACTTGCCGTGCGGGGACCCCTGGTATCGTCACAGGTCTGATAGGGGAGGGAACACACACCTGCCGTGCGGGGACCCCTGGTGTCGTCACAGATGTGATAGGGGAGGGAACATACACCTGCCGTGCGGGGGGCCCTGGTGTCGTCACATGTGTCATAGGGGAGGGAACATAAACTTGCCGTGCGGGGACCCCTGGTGTGGTCACAGATGTGATAGGGGAGGGAACACACACCTGCCGTGCGGGGACCCTTGGTGTCGTTACATGTGTCATAGGGGAGACAAAAACACACACCTGCCGTGCGAGGGGCCCTGGTGTCGTCACAGATGGGATAGGGGAGGGAACACACACCTGCCGTGCGGGGGGCCCTGGTGTCGTCACAGATGTGATAGGGGAGGGAACATACACCTACCGTGCGGGAACCCCTGGTGTCGTGACAGGTGTGATAGGGGAGGGAACATACACTTGCCGTGCGGGGGGCCCTGGTGTCGTCACAGGTGTGATAGGGGAGGGAACATACACTTGCCCTGCGGGG